AGGAGGAAAAAGGGGGACGAGGAGGGAGAGGGGAGGAGGGAGGAGGAGGGAGAGGAGGAGGAGAAGGGAGAGGGAGGAGAGGAGGGAGGGAGGGAGGGAGGGGGATGAGGGAGGAGGAGTAGGGAGGAGGGAGGAGGGAGGAGGAAGGAGGGAGGAGGAGGAGGAGGATGAGGAGGAGGACGAGGAGAAGGAGGAGGAGGAGGAGGAGGAGCGAGAAGCCAGGAGTGAGGAGGAGCGAGGAGCAGGAGGATGAGCGTGATGCTCCTCCTGTCTCTCTTCAACACTCGTTGGCGCCAGCTGGCAGTGCCGACGCAAGCGCTCTCGAGCCCTGAGGTCCCCTGCGGTCCTGCCGTTCTCGGGCACTGCCTAGGGGAGCCACCACGAGGGGGGTCGCCGCCTCCTCGAGGGAGCACCGGCTCCTCTGCTCCCCTGGTGGGCTCCTGCACCCCTGGGAGTAGCCCCGGGGAGTGGGCTCCCTCCTCCTCCTCCTCCTCCTCATCATCATCCTCCTCCTCCGCCTCCGCCTCCGCCTCCGCCTCCGCCTCCGCCTCCGCCTCCGCCTCCTCCTTCTCCTCCTCCCTCCTCCTCCCTCCTCCCATCCGGTCCGCCCGATGCATCCCCAATCTCCGACGCGAACGGGCCCGTGAAACATCACCGGTGGGCAGAAGTCCACGCCTGCTGCGCCGCGGTGCGGTGGCCGTGGGGCCCCGAAGAGACGCGCGTCTGCTCCCCGAAACGGACGCTCCGCCCGATGCATCACCAATCTCCGACGCGAGCGAGCCCGTCACCGCTTTGGGGTGGTCCATTCGCAGCGCCCGATGCATCGTGCATCGCGGCAGTCATGGGGCCCCGAGAAAACACGCGCCTGCTTTCCAAAGCGGGCGGTTCCGCGCGAGGATCCCCACGATCCGAATGCGAAGGGGCCCGTGAAACGCCTGTCCGACATCCCCTTGGCCGGCCCCTGTCCTGCAGGGCGCTGGCTGCGGTTCCAGAGCCGAGGTGGGAAGAACGGAGGATGGATCAGGGAGGGGATGGAGGACACAGAAGGAGAATCAGGAGGAGGAGGAGGACTAGGGAGCCCACGAAAGACGTACGCGCCCAGCTATGTACATGAACACGGCCCCTTGACCCGTGAGACCGGCCGCGTGATACGGACATTCGCGCCATGCGAACTCTCGAAACCAGCGTGGATTCATGTACGTGTACGTCCTTCTTTCGCCCCTGAGAGGAGGAGGCGGTCCCCGGAGCAGACATGAAGGGACAAGCTTATGGCAATCGAGAGGATCATGAGCGGGAGAGGGCGGCGGAGGGGACGAGGACGGCCGGCCGTGGCAAGAGGGGTGGGTCGGCCAGCGGGGGGCAGATTACACACGCGTCCAAGGGCTCCGATGGCCCACGCCGTCGACGAGGCTCCACGGCGGGTGCGCGTGGAGCAGGCCGCGGAGCTGTCCGCCCCCCCTTCTTGGCCTCTGCTGAGAGGGACCTCCTTCTCCTCCTGCTCCTCCTCCTCCTCCTCTCCTCCTCCTCTCCTCCTCCTCCTCCTCCTCCTCCTCCTCCTCCGCCTCCGCCTCCTCCTGATCTTCCCCGGGAGCTTGAGGTAGAAGAGGTGAGCGACGATAACAGAGGGGTCTGGCGCGAGATGGCCTAGCGACCTCACGCGGTGGCTTACGCGGGCCGCCCGCGTGGCACGCGGCACTTGAAGCGAGGGAGCTTACGCGCGACCTTACGGGGGGGGCTTACGCGCCAATGTCGGCGCAGTTGGACCCTTCTTTTTTCGCCGCCCAGGTGGGAAGAGGAAATGTCATGGGGGAGCGCTATATGGATGGGGTCAAGGGTTGTAAGGGTCAAGGGAGTTCTGGGCACGTGGATGGACGGAGGCAGAGGGAAGCAAATGAGGAGAACGAGGGACGAGGAGCAGGAGGAGAAAAACAATGAGCAGGAGGAGCGAGGGAGGGAGGGAGGGAGAGAGGGAGGGAGGGAGGGAGGGAGAGAGAGAGAGAGAGAGAGAGAGAGACAGAGGAGGAAGCAGAGACGGAAGGCGGCGGAGGAAGGACCGCGGAGGGAGGAGCAAGGGGACAGCGGAGGACGGCTGAGGAAAGAGCGAGGAGGCCGGCGAGCGGAAGGACGAAGAAGAGGAGGAGAAGGCAAGCGGTGGCGATCAAGAGGGGTCAGCGCGAGGGGCCATCCCCCCCAAGGAGGCAGACGGCGTCTCCGAAGGCAACCGCACTCCTGGTGTTCCGAACGTGCGTACGAGGCTGATCGGAAAGGACACGCGAGAGGACACGAGACCCTTCCGACGGCCACATTGCCTTAAGAACGTCAAGGCACGGGTCGCGAGACACAGAACACACAAGAGTCCCCTTGATTTGGCAGGGTCGGTCTGCTGATCAGCCTTGACTGTAGTCGCAGAGGGGGAGGCGTCCTGGAAAGCTGACCCCCCGACCCACTCCTCCGATGTCTTGATGCCTCTCACGAGCTGGGCCCTGGATTTAGGTTCGAGCCCTGACCTTCGCATGGACTCCGCTACATGGGCTTCTTCTTGAGGCCGCCCCAATTGGGCCGGAGTAAATGGGTCGGAGAATGGCACCGCATCGCCGATGCATCGGCGATGCATACGAGACGCCAAGATGGAACACATCCGGCTCTGGATCGGCGCTCCTCCGACCCCATCTACGGCATGTTCGTGCCGTGACGACCCGCGAGTTGCGTTCTGACACCACGTGGATCGTTCAACCTTCAACGATCGCAGCTCTGACGCCACGAGTATACATACACATAAATACCCTCCGACGAACTTCGCATGTACCTTCAAGGAGGGCGGCGGTGTATAAAGTCGCCGGCTCTCAGCGGTGATTTATACACCGCCACCCTTCCCCGAGGCCCAGGCACAATCCATTGGAGGGTGTCTGCGTATAGATCGATGTATAAATACGTGTGTGCATATATACATTATATATATATATATATTATGTATATATACATAATATATATATATATATATATATGGCAGCTCTGTGATCGACAATCCCGGGCCGCCCGAGGCGCTCCCGCCCGAACGCCCGCGCGGGGGCCCCCGCCGCGCCGACGCGACAGGAACCCGCCGTGTCTGCAGCCTCCCTCGGGATTCCACGCCGTGGAACAGAAGCCACGGCGTCGTGGAAAAGTGTCGGCCTGAGCATCGTTTGTCCGACCCCTACCCCCAGCGGCGTGGCCTGGGCCCCACTGGCCGATCTACCCCTTAGACGGGGATATTGGCCGTTCCCTTCGGGCTTCGAGGGTCATGTGATCCCAGGCTCCGGGCGGGTCCACGGCCCTCCCCCCCCAGATGGGATGGGTCTCAGGGTCCCTCGGGCCCCCCCCAGATGGGATGGGGGGGCGACGATGACGACGACAACGAAGACGGCGACGACGACGACGACGAAGACGAAGACGACGACGACGGCGACGACGACGGCGACGACGACGAAGACTCCGTCCGCTCCGGCTCCCTGAAGCACTGCAACACCATCGAAGAGGCCAGCCCGAACTGATTAAAGTGAAACAGTTTTACGTCATGCCTAGGACGGCGATGCGTGCCGATGCCGATGCCGACGCTGAAGTCGTCGTCCTCCTCCTCCTCCTCCTTCTCCTCCTAGTCTTCTCCTCCTCCTCCTCCTCCTCGTACTTCGGAGGGCCGACCACCACCACCAACGCCACCCACCACCCCACACCCACAGAGGGGGGGAGGGCCAGATCCCATACCCACCACCGCACGCCCACAGACCCCACCACACCACGCCTACAGGGGGGGGGGGGGGGGCCATCGCGCGGGGGGCGCCGATGGCATCAGCATGGGGGGGGAGGGGGGGCTCAGACAATGGAGCATATATCCCCAACTGGGGGGGTGAGATGGTGGATCTATGGACGGGGATGTGGATAGGGGCAGGACAGCCCAGAATCGAATCGATAAGCTGGATTGGCGATCGACATGAATCTGATCAGCGGAGATCGGCAGCCAAGTCGGGAGAGGTCGGATCGGCGGAAATTGGCAGGCTCCCAGACCTCCGTTAAGAGCTAGGGATCCACATCAGAATCAGAAGTCGAATCGAGTTGAACTCGGAAGCCAAGGAAATCGGATCGAATCGAATGGGATGGGAGAAGTCGAGATCAGCGATGCAGGGTTCGGTCACACGATACTGGGACCAGAACTCTGGGCCTCACCTGTCTCCGCACCCCTCGGGCAGGACCAACCCTGGGGCCCGAGACCGGGGTGAGATACAAACGGCAACTATCTCCGCGCCTCGTACTCCGCGAAGCGCGAGCTCTCGACGAGGCGCAGCAGATGGGAAGCAGAAGGAGCCCAAGCGAAAGCCGCAGACAGAACTCCAACGACAACTCCCGAAGATCCAGCGCTGGTCCCGAAAACACGGCGCACGCCATCTTCACTTGAGCAGGGACCGACCGTCCCGGTATTTTTATAGTCCTACCACGAAATGTTCTTAGAACCCAGAACTGTTCTAAGAAGAAAACAATGTTCTTAGAACATAAGCCCGATGTGTTAAAACAAGACCGTCCCAACCAGAAATGTTCCAAGATCATTTCGTGGGAACCACAAAAGGTTCTTAGAACATTGTTTGGTGGGGCTATAGGCGAGCCGGGACCCTTCGCCACTGCTTGATTCACTGCTTGTGGCCGTTTCCCCAAAAAATGCTCCTTGAAAATGGAAGCGGCAAAAAAACGGCGACCGGAAGCGCAAAAAACGGCTCCAAGATTGGAACCGGAGCCAGAACCGGTCAAAAAACGGCGACGGAACCGGTACAAAAACGGCGTCGGAACCGGCAAAAAAACGGCAAAACGGAACCGGTCAAAAAACGGCCCTGTCGTTTCCAGGGCCCATTAAGGGCGCAGGCGGCGGTGGCGGCGACGGCTACGGCGACGACGGCGACGGCGGGCAGCGGCGGTGGTGGCGGCGGCGACGCGACGAGCCAGCGGCGTTGCTGGCGGCCACTCGCGGGAGCATCCTGGGCCGCGCGCTGGGCGTTCCGCTCCAGCTCGAGGACCCTCTCCTGGAGAGCCTTCCTCTGGGCCTCCTGAGGGGAGGGGGCGGGGAGGGAAGGAGGAGGAGGAGGAGGAGGAAATGAGAGTCAAACGTCTCGGAGGGGAGAGGGGGGAGGAGAAAAAGGAAGAGGAGGATCAATGTGTTCGCAAACTCGCGGTCTTTTTTGGAATCTCTGAAAGCGTGACCCAGGGCGACCCCTCCCAAAACAGAGGAACAAAACCCCCTCCTGCGACGCTGCAATGTTTTATCTTCACCGGCCAAAATTAACCCTGAGCTGTTCCGTGACGGTCCCAGCACCAGGGAAGGTCCCCCAGAGAACATCTTGCCGTCACGACGTGCTCACATTGGCACACCGATATGCGGCAGGGTGTCGCTTGCTTCGTATATATATATATATATATATATATGAGTATATGTACATATATATATATATATAACAAGACAACCCGCGGGCCGCAAAGATCACACCCCTTCCCCAGGGGTACTTGTTCGTCCCGGATCCATGCGGGATGGCCCCGGGGCCCGAAAACGATCTCCGGGGGCCGAAACCGAGGAGGAACGCTGGGCTTGAAGCAGGCAGCCCCTCGGAGGCCTGGGCACGACGACGGCTCTCCCGAGGGGGTGGCGCGAGGGGGAGCGGCCGTCTCAGGGAGCTTCGAGACCCCGCCCCCCTGGCTTCTGGAAAGACGTCGAAACCCCTTCCCTTTCATCCCTTCCCGCCGGGGATGGGGCGGAGTCCCAGGGAAGTCCCGGGTCGGATGCGCTTCCCCCGCTGGCGGCGGCCCTGGCCCCGACCCTGGCCCTGGCCGGGCTCCGGCCCTGACCCCGGCCTGATTCCGGCCCCGGCCCAGGAAGCCCGCGAAACCAACGGTTCAACCAAATTCCGAGAAGCCCCCTTCGAAGCCGCCCGGCCCTCCCAGCAAGGCCCCTGCCCTCCAACAAAAACCCTCGCCTTCTCCTCGGGTCGGGCGGCAGCGGGGAAAGGGGGCTACAGCGAAGGGGGGCTGGCGTATCTGAAGGAGCCAAAGGACACACAAAAAAGTAACCGCAAGCAAATCCCATGATCGCCCACATGTTTCATATAATTCCCAACCATCCTGTTGAGTTGAGTCCTCATTTTGAAAGGACAATCTCCGCGTATCCTCCTCCTCCTCCTCCTCCTCCTCCTCCTCCTCCTCCTCCTCCTCCTCCTCCCCCTCCTCCCACTTCCCGTCACCCCCATCACTTGGGCCCCCCCCTCACACGTTTCGTGGCCCCCTTTGGAGCTCCACGGAAGGCCCCAATGGCATGGCTCGCATGCCCCCCCCCATCCATTTTGGCACAACCGTTAAGCGCTTCGTGGCCCCATAGGGAGCTCCACCGAAGACCCTGCTGGCATCGTTCGCGTGCCGCCCCCCTCCACTGTGGCACCCCCCTCAAACGCTTCGTGGCCCCTAAGGGGCTCCACCGAAGGCCCCAGTGGCATGGTTCGCACGCCGTCCCCCTCCACTTTGGCACGCACACACACAAACACACACACACACACACATTCGCACACTCGCACACTCACACACTCACACACTCACATACACACACTCACCTGACACGTTTTGTGGCCCTATAGGGAGCTCCACCGAAGGCCCGGGTGGCATGGTTCGCATGCCGCCTCTCCTTCATTTTGGGGCATCCCTCACACGTTTCGTAGCCCAGTAGGGAGCTTCACCAGAGGCTCATGTGGCATGGTTCGCATGCCGCCCCCCCCCCCCCCCCCCCCGCATTTGGGCACACCCCTCACACGTTTCGTGGTCCTATAGGGAGCTTCACCGAAGGCCCCATTGGCATGCATGGTTTACATGCGGTTCCCCGACGTAGTGCAGCGCATCGAGGCCACATAAGGAGCTCCACCGAAAGCTCCAGTGGCTGTGTCCGCATGAGTCTCCCCCACCCAGTACAGAGCTTCGCGGCCCCATAAGGAGCTCCACCGAAGGTCCCAGTGGCGGTGTCAGCATGCATTTCCCCCACCCACTTCAGCGCTTCGTGGCCCGTAGGGAGCTCCACCGAAGGCCCCAGTGGCGGTGTCAGCATGCGGCTCCCCCCCCCCCCCAAAGGCCCCAGTGGCTGTGTCCGCATGCGCTTCCCCCATCCAGTACAGCGTTTCGTGGCCACATAGGGCGCTCCACCGAAGACCCCAGTGGCATGGTTCACATGCCGCCCTCCCTCCACTTGGGCACACCCCTCACACGCATCGTGGCCACATAAAGGGGCTTCACCCCGAAGGCTCAAGTGGCGGTGTTAGCATGCGATTGCCTCACCCAGAACAGCGCTTCGTGGCCCCATAAGGAGCTCCACCAAAGGCAACAGTGGCGGTGTCCGCGTGCTGTTTTTTCGCTCACTCAATACAAAACCCATAGGGAGCTCGACCGAAGATCCCAGTGGCGGTGTCCGCACGTGTTCCCCCCACCAGTACAGCGCTTTGTGGCCCCATGGGGAGCTCCAACGAAGGCCCCAATGGCGGTGTCCGCATGCGTTTTCCATGAAAATTACAGCGATACACGGGGCTCCAACGAAGGCCCCAGTTGTGGTGTCCTCATGCGCTTCCCCCACACAGTACAGCGCTTCGTCGCCCCATGGGCAGCTCCACCGAAGGCCCCAGCGGCGGTGTTCGCGTGCATTCCCCCCACCCAGTACAGCGCTTCGCGGCCCCACAAGGAGCCCCACCGAAGGTCCCAGTGGTGTTCGCATGCGTCTCCCCCACCCAGCACAGCGCTTCGTGGCTCCGTGGGAAGCTCCACCGAAGGCCCCGGTGGTGGTGTCAGCATTCGTTTCCCCCGCTCAGTCCAGCGCTTCGTGGCCCCGTAGGGAGCTCCACCGAGAACCTCAATGGCGACGTTCGCATGGCGGCCCCGCTCCATGTCGGCACGCCCCTCGCACGTTTCGCGGCTCCACGTGGAGCGCCACCGAAGGCCCCAATGGCTGCGCCCGCATGCGCCCCCGCCCCATATCGGCACACCCTTTAAACGCTTCGTGGCTCCAGAAAGAGATCCACCGAAAGCAATGCCCACAACGGCGATACTCACAGCTGCATAGGGTTAGGCCCGTCGCCAGGATATTGTCAGACTTTCGTTTTCCCCCCGCTTCCTGTTGCTTCCCAAGTTTCCCATGCAGAGGCCTCCTAGATGGGGTTAGAGTAGATGGGGTCGAAGGATCGCGCCGCATCGCCAATGCACCCCGATGCATCGGCGATGCACCGTCGATGCATTGGCGACGTCAGCGTGTGGAAACACGGTCTCCGCATCGAGCCGCATCGTCGATGCATCGGCGATGTGGCGCGATCCACCGACCACATCTACTCCGACCCCATCTGGGAGGCCTAGACCATGGAATCGATGATTATAGGCGTCTGCGTGTTTCTCCCCCTCCTGAATCTTAGCTCACACAGCTGCTTCTCCTGGCGCCCTTCTGAGAAGCTCCCTCCGACGCGGCCTGGCCCCCCTAGCGCTCCCAGAAACCCCTTCCGCCTCGTGCCTGGGCCAGACGGCAGCGGGGGGGGGGGGCTATGGCTAGTGCGGGATCGACTGCAGGACTGGTTCGCCCCAGACTTGATTTGCTCGTCAAGTCCTCAGATGTTTGAATGTCATGTTCGTAGATCTACGAACATGATGCGATTGTTCTGTAGATTCGCAGAGCAAATCAATGTTGGGCCCCATCAATTCTGAAGTCGACCCCCTACTCGAATACCAGAGGGCGGCTGCGCATCAGCTCGCGCTGCAGCTTCCCCCCGCGCCCACCAGCGCCAGGGGCGCCAATGCAGCGAGGAACGCGCCCAACGTCGGGGCCGACACCGGCTGCGCCGCAGCAGCTTTCGCACTCCCCCCATCCCCTAGGTGCAAGGACACAAGGACACACGCAAGCAAATAAACGCAAAAATCCCAGGATCCCCGGATCCCCACCCCCCCCCCACACACACAAACACAAACACACACATATGTATATATGCATATATATATATATGTATATATGCATCTACATATATACATATATACATATATACATATATACATATATACATATATACGTATATACATTTATACAAATATACACTGCATTGGCGTTTCCCGCCATGCGCGTTGGTCCTTCACGCTTGGCATGCAGACAAAAAGGCAATACGGTAAAACGGAACATTTAGCGGCAAATCGTTGTTGCTTATTTAATGTTTCCTCTTCCTTTTCCTCAAACTCGCCCTGCCCTGCGACATCGCCGCCAACATCGGATCTTTTGTGGGGCCAATCCTGGGAGCCACTGGGGGCTTCCCTGGGCAAACCTGCTTCAAATCGCGGTCTCCCTGAACGACCACGTCACGATTCGGGGTGATTCGGGAGGCGTCTCGGGATCATTTTGGGCGGCCATAAGGCTCTCTTCGGGCCATTTTGGGGCCCCGTTGGCCCATCATGGGGCTCCCCTCTTGCACTGCCCGGAAGCCCGGTTGGCTGAATTCGGGGCGATGCTCCGGCCTTTTCGGCATTCTCGGGCACCCAGAAGAGCGAAGAACTGAACATTGCCAAAACCAGGCAAAAGTCGTCGGACATGTATAGGGCAGGTTCGTGTCGTGCCGACCCCAGCGTTGGTTTTTGACACCGCAGGGATCGTTCAACCTTGAACGATCGGCCGTTCCCGCAACGTCCAATCGTTCAACATCGACCGATTCTGGGTCGCCCGCGGCGTTCAACCTTGAACGCCCGCGCTGGGGTCGCCGCTGGTCGACACGACGCAAACCTACCGTATATACTTTTGTCTGCGTTTTGAATGCCTCTCGGGCGTCTTCCTCGGGTCCTTTCCGGGCGTCCGACGGGCGCGCGGGGCCTCCGCGGGCTCTCGCGGGGCCGCCCTGGCCGCCCTCTGACCCGCCTAGGCCCAGCAGGGGGCGCTTTCAGGGGCATCCAGAGCGCCCCCGGGCCAAGGATCCAGAGTGGTGCCGTTGAAAAAAGGGTTCTTCTTGCACGGGGTGTCTAGAGCTCCGAGCACTTCATTCCGCGTCGCGTCGCACCCCTCCCCGCTCCCGTTCCCCGCCCTCCACAGCGTTCCCCAGCGACCCAAATGGAACCACCGCCACATGCCCCCTCCGCCACGACCATCTTATTCCGCGTCGCGTCGCACCCCCGCCCCCCCACCCCTCCCTCTCCCCTACGTTCCAAGGCGGCCCAATGGAACATCCGCCCAGTGCCCCCTGCGCCCCGACCACTTTATTCCGCGTCGCGTCGCGTCGCGCCCCCTCGACCCCCGCGGCCCAGTGGAAAAAAACCCCAGCCAAATGCCCCCTCCGCCACGACAGTTCTAATCCGCGTCGCGTCGCCCCCCCCCCCTGCCCCCGCCCCCCCCTTCCTAAGAGTTCCCCAGCAGCCCACTGGAACCTCCGCCCAATGCCCCCTCCGCCCCGAGGGCTTTATCCCGCGTCGCGTCGCGCCCCCCCCTCCCCGCCCCCGCCCCCCCCTTCTAAGCGTTCCCCAGCGGCCTGGTGGAACCTCCGCCCAGCGCCCCCTCCGCCCCGACCAGCGTTACCCGGCGGGCCAGGCGCAGACCCAAAAGCGTTCCCGGCCGCATCCCAATGAAACCCCGGTCCACCGCCCCCCTCTGCCCCGATCACTTATTCCGCGTCGCGCCGCACCCCCTCCCTGCCCCCGCCACCGTGGCCCGACGTTCCCCAACGGCCCAAACCTCCCTCCGCCCGACCACTTCATTCCGCATCGCGTCGCCCCCTCCTCCCCAGCGCCCCCCGCAGTGGGGCGCCCGCCCTGTGGTGCCCCCTCCGCCACGATGACTTTGTGCAGCGTCGCGAGGCACCCCCCTCCCCGCCTCCGCCACCCCCTCCCAGGCGTTCCCCAATGGCCCAAGGCCCCCTCCGCCCCTCGCCGTGGCCCAGGGCCCCCAATGGCCCAAGGCCCCCTCCGATCTGTAGCAGAAGGCCATGGCTCCCGAGAGACCGGCCCGACGCCTCGGGTGGGCACGCCAGGCGGCCAGCCGCTGGGCCAGACGTGGCACGGCGGCCTCAGGAAGTCTGCGGGCCCTTCCTTGCCTTGGGTCGGGCATGTCCTCCTACAGGCGGATTTTGGAAGAAAATAAAAAAGAATTCAAAATATTCAAACATGGTGAACATGTAATAGAATAGTCGCCCCCATAGTATCTTATTGTGGCAATATTTCAAGATTCCTCCTGTAGAAGGACACGCCCGACTGAATCCTTGCCGACGCCCACGGAACAAACTTGTCGCACCGTCGGGGGCACCTGCTCTGGGTGGGATGGGAGGCTTGCACCCAGACGCACCACGGTAGGGTCACAAGCTTCCCAACCGCCCTGGAACAATATCCACCAGTTAGCAAAACACCCTGTCTTGTACCGCCCTGCACCTGCCCAAACGGAGGAGGAGGAGGAGGAGGAGGAGGAGGAGGGCGAGGAGGAGGAGGAGGAGGAGGACGAGGAGGAGGTGGAAGTAGAGGAACAGAAAAGCAATAACCACAAACTTCCTGGACTCCGCGCGGAGTTCCTGCATCGACGCCGGGCCCTCGCACACCAGGGGCTGCGCTGGAGGCACTGACGGGGGGGCTCAGCGCCGATCCAAGAAATCCGTGCGGAACTCCGACAGCTTGTGTCTATGCCGTTGCTCCTCCTTCGAGGATGGGGGCTCCTTCTCATCCAGCTGCACCTGCAGGCTCGCGTCTTGATTTATGGTTTTCCACAGGGACTCCGTCTTGATGGTCGCTAGATCCGTGTCGTCGAGGGAGGCCTGCTTGAGCCGCAGCCTCATGAGCATCGATTCACCGGACCCTGTCTCCACTGGCTTGGCCGTGGCACCACTGGCCGATTGATATACCCACAAACAGATGCCTGTTCCTACGGGTTTCGTGGGGCCTGCCCCTGCCTAGGAGGCTGGGCTGGCGGCGCAGAGATAACTACCATGGCCCAGTGGGGATGGGTGCAAGTTAGACGATGCTGACCTCATTTGGTGGATCTTCTCCTCGCCCTTCTTCAGGTTCCCCAAGAGCTCCTCGATCTGCGCCTCTCTCTCGGCGAGCTCCTTTGGAGGGACAGAGCAACAACATCAACATAAAACCTTCTGAGGTCCGTGCAGAATTCTCTGGTCAGCACTGGACCCCCCTCCCTGTCACTGCGCAAGCCTTGCTGACGTGATGCAGCGGAAATTTGCATGGATCCCTGCGAATTGAAAGCCTCGAAACGGCGAGAGAATTTGCCTGGCGAAAGACCCAACCATACGCAGTTGAGAACGCCGCCATTGTGAATCTCGTCTTCGGTGGAGCTCCCTATGAGGCCAGGAACCGCGTGAGGGGCGCGCCGATGCATGGCGGGGAACGCAACGCGGAAGAAGACGATAGGTCTGATAACGAGAGCCTGAGAGCGGGTGAGTCTGAACACGAGTGGGTCTGATTGTGCATGAATCTGCGTGCGGGGGGGCCTACGTGGATGAATGTCGACGCCCATATCGGCCCCCCCCTCGCGTGGATCGCACCCGCTCCCTCTCGCTCTTTTTCCCCCTCTATGCCCGCGCACTCCAGTGCCCAAGGCTGCGGGCGCAGCGCAGCGCGGAATCCCCGCGACGCGCGCTGGTCGCCCCGAAGGGGCCCCAGCAACGCGCGCGGGTCGTCCGCTGCGCGGAGCAAAGTGAGCTAGCTGGCTGGCTGGGACCGGGCAAGGCCCTGGGCGCCGGGCAGAGCGACGACGGGCGAACGAGGCGCTGGGCAGTGCGCACCGCGGAGTCCCCGCGAAGCACGCCAGTCGCCCCGAGAGGGTCCCAGCGACGCGCACGGGTCGTCCGCGGCGCCCGGACGAACTGTGGGACAGCCTGGATATGGCGCGGTTCGGGCGGGCCGCTCCCCAGGTCATGCCTCGCGGATAAAGTCGGTGAAACCCAGCTCCCTGGCGAGGGTCGTGGCCTCCCTCCTGCACCGCTTCGTGCGCGCAGCAAGCTGCTCCAACTGCTTCCGCAAGCCCGCCGGCGGCCCCGCCAGGAACTCGATGCGCGGCGCCCGCATGAGCAGGAGGTCCTCGTGGCGCTCGGCGCGCGAGAGCAGCACGTAAAGCTCCAGCCACCAGTCGTCGTCGTCCTTCTTGCCGTTCCCGATCTCGTGGCGGCCGCAGTCCAGGATCACACCTGGGCGACGTCGGCCGAGGAAGCAGCGCGTGGGGCAGCCAACGGCCCAAGGCGAGAATCCACAGAACCAAAAAAAGGTATGGCTGCGGATCGCTCGTGCCCAGGAGGTTTGGCCGTGGACTGCCCGGGGGGCGCTGTTCCCCCGCCCCGTCGCCTTCTCGCATGGTGCGCCCCTGGCACGCCACCGTGGTGATGACCCTGCCGTGCGAGAGCGGGAAGCCCGTCCGGGTGCTGGGTTACACATCGCAGTCTTCAAAAACGAACGCATGGAACTAACCCCACCTTCGGAACGCCGCCGCTGAGGCCTTCGGTGGAGCCCACGAAACGTGTCAGGGAGTGCCGAAATGGGGGTGACGGCTCCCTATGGGGCCACGAAACGCAGTCCTGGGCGAGGAAGACGCATGCGGACTGCGCCACTGGGGCCTTCGGTGGAACTCCGTATGGGGCCACGAAGCGCTGTCCTGGGCGGGGGAGACGCATGCGAACTGCGTCAATGGGGCCTTCGGTGGGGCTCCCCATGGGGCCACGAAGCGCTGTTCTGGGCGGGAGAGACGCGTGCGAACTGCGCCACTGGGGCCTTCGGTGGAGCTCCCTGTGGGGCCACGAAACGCGGTCCTGGGCGGGGGAGACGCATGCGAACTGCGCCACTGGGACCTTCGGTGGGGATCCCTATGGGGCCACGAAGCGCTGTCATGGGCGGGGGAGACGCGTGCGGGCTGCGCCACTGGGACTTCGGTGGCGTTCCCTATGGGGCCACGAAGCGCTGTCCTGGATGGGGGAGACGCATGCGGACTGCGCCACTGGGACCTGGTGTCGGGATCCCTATAGGGCCACGGAACGCTGTCCTGGGCGGGGGAGACGCATGCGAACTGCGTCAGTGGGACCCTCGGTGGGGCTCCCTATGGGGCCACGAAACATTGTCCTGGGCGGGGGAGACGCATGCGAACTGCGCCACTGGGACCTTAGGTGGCGCTCCCTATGGGGCCACGAAACGCTGTACTGGGTGGGGGAGACGCATGCGAACTGCGCCACGGGGACCTTCGGTGGAGCTCCCTATGGGGCCACGAAGCGTGTAAGGGGCGTGCCGAAGCTGATGGCGATGATTGTGACGATGACGGAGATGATGATGACGACGATGGTGACTGCGACGATGACGATGATGACGACGATGATGATGCTGATGCTGATGGTGATGACGATGATGATGATGATGATGATGATGATGATGATGATGATGATGATGATGTTGAAGATGATGATGCTTGTGATGATGATGGTGATGGTGATGGTGATGATGATGGAAAGAGGGAGGAGGGGAAGGAGGAAGGAGAGGAACGCGGGGCACCGTCTCTTCAAAACGAGGACCCAACACCACAGGATGGTTGCGTGACGATGACGAGGAGGAGGGAGGAGGGGAGGAGGATAGGAGGGGTAGAGGACGCGGGGCGCTGTCTCTTCAAAACGAGGACCAACACCACAGGACGGTTGGGAAAAACGAAGTGAATTTTTGCCCATGAAAAAACCCGAAACGGCGAGTGAAAAACGAAGTGAATGTTGCGTGGATGCTTGTTGGGTCTTCATTCCTGGCCCCAAAAAATCCGCGCGAAATTCACCTCGAAATGCGGAACGTAATTCTCCAGAACACTCCAGGTCCATCCTACCGCTTCCAGATGAAATCCGCTCGGCGATGTTGGCGCCATGATCCCTGGCGCGGACCGCATCAGGTTCGGCAAAGGAGGCGCCGACCCAGGGGGGGAGGGGGGGGGGGGGGGGCAAACGCAGGTACGAGAAACCCGCGCGGACCTCCGCAAAATCACTCTGGATGGGACTATCATCGGCCCCCCCCCTCCTTTGGAATCCGCTGGGGGGGTGGGGCACGTCACGTGCTGTCCGTCGGAAGCTGGGCGAAGGCTGGCAAATCCGTGGCTGCTAAAACGGTTTTCCCGGAAGAACAAGACAAATTCCTGGAGTAAAATTCAGCGCACTAGATATATACGGGCTGCTTCCCGGAAGAAGCGAGCAGTTTCCCGGGGCTCCGTTTTAGCAGCCACGGGTTTGCCAGCCTTCGCCTGGCTTTTGAATAATCGACCCCCCCTCTGGGGGGGTTGGGCACGTGCTGTCGGCACGGGTGGAGGGGGAGCTGCAGGAAGAGGAGGAGGAGGAGGAGGAGGAGGAAGGGGAAGGGGATGGAGGGGGGCGGGATTGGGCAAGCTCAGTTGGAAGGTTAAACCCCCTCCCTTGATAAATACCCCATCCAGAGTATGCCCATGCATCTGTTTGTTCCTCGAGCTCTTTCTTCTGGTTGGACTTCAAGCTTTTGACCATCTGCTGCACGTCCTTGTCCGCGCGCTTCTGGCCGCGCTCCGACCGCAGCTCGTCCTCGAGGTCGTGAATCCGCTCCACGGCCTGCTCCAGCTGATCCTCTGGAAGCCTCCCGGAAGAGGTCAGAGCAGATTGGGTCGGACGATCGCACCGCATCGTCGGCGACGCGGCGCGATCCTCCGACCCCGTCTGTTGAGCAGGGACCGACCGTCCCAGCATTCCTGTGGTCCTACCAGGACACGTTCTTAGAACCCAAAAATGTTCTCATCACGAGAACCATCTTCTTAGAACAAAAGCCCGATGTGCTCAAAGAAGACAGACTCCGCCAACAATGTTCTCAGAACATTTCGTGGGAACCACAAAAGGTTCTTAGAACATTCTCTGGTCGGGCCATAGGCGAGCCAGGACGCTTCGCCACTGCTTGAGTCTGCTCGGACCTCATCTTGAAGGCCCGGATCCTTGGTGCTCGCCAGCTGCTCCTCGAGCTCCTTCCGCTGCAGCCTGCTGGGGTTCTCAGTGTTCAGGACGGCCAACCTTTGAGCAGGGACCGACCGTCCTGGCATTCCTATAGTCCTACCACGAAGTGTTCTTAGAACCCAAAAATGTTCTAATGACAAGAACAATGTTCTCAGAACATAAACCCGATGTGTGTAAAACGAAACAGACTCCGCCAACAATGTTCTAAGAACATTTCGTGGGAGCCACAACAGATTCTGAGAGCATTGTTTGGTAGGGCTATAGGCGCGCCAGGACTCTTTGCCACTGCTTGAAACCTGACGCACTCCTCCACGGCCTGCTGGAAGTAGGGGAGCTCGTCGTCCGTGAGGGCCGACTCGGGCACGAAGTGGAAGATGTCGAGGTGCCTCTTGTACAGGTCGTCAAGGCTCTCCCCCGGCCTGCACTTCTGCAGGTTCACCGACCGCAGCGACGTGATCTCCTCCGGGGGGGGGACGTCCGGGAAGGCGGGGCTCTCCGGGGGAGAGCGTCGAGCTGGCATCTGCGACGCACCGCCGATCGATCGGCGGGGGGCGATGGGCTCTCGGTGGCAAATGCGCATGTTCCCGGGCGGGATGGCGGCGAAGGTGAAACATTGGACGCTAACCATCGACGGCCCTATCGGCAATCAGTTGGCGATCGGAGGTGGGCTCCCCCCCTAACTACCCCCTCCCCTGACGCTGCCCCGGCTCCTCGAGATAGTTCCCGCGGCACTGGTTGAACTTCTTCAGGAGCTGCTCGTAGCGCACCCGGAAGCTCACGTCGCCACTGAACGCCTCCGTCACCATCGCTGGCAAGCGCTTCGCCTCGAGCGCCTCCAGCACAAGCACGGACACGCTCCACGCCGTGTCCATGAGCGTGCTGAGGGCAAAGTTCAGATTGGTGCACCCCCCCGTCTTCACGAACTTGTGCGCCGAGTCCTCCAGCTCCTTGTGCAGAGGCCCGTCGTGAAGCAAGAACTCCCTCAGCACCCGCTGCCAGTTCTGGGTCACGTCCTCCTCCCGGGAGGCGCAAGCCATGCGATGCGCGGGGACCCTGGCCTGAGGTCGGGCATGTCCCCCTGCAGGCGGAATTCGCACGAGACAAATACGACACAATCCAAGAATAAATCTTCGAAAAAGGCCAGAGACATGGTGAACAAATCGTCCCGAGACTATCTCTTGACTACTTTGAACTATTCCTCCTTGCGGCCAAGAGAGGGGTGTCCAAGAGTGGGGGGGTGCAAATCATGACCAGCGGCATGTGCGCGGCCCAGCGGGGGGACCAGGGACGTAATGAAATAAGAAGAGGCGCCAGGAAATCTGGGGAAATATCACGGCCCCCGCCATGACATCCCCCCTCCCCCCTCGCCATCACCCCCCCCTTTGCCGCCCCCGACTCCCGTCGAGGCACAAGCCCGACCCCACCCTGGCCGGGACCCTCCCCAGAGGGCAAAGCACCCGGGAGGGCGCGCCCGCCCGGCCGCGCCGAGCGGGGGCGCGCACGCCGCTCCTGGACCCGGGAGCGGCACGGCCAGGGCTGGTGCCGGGGGCAACTGCTGATGGGCCTGCTGTCCACCAGCACCACCATACGTCGGTGGGGGAGGGGGCCCTCCTCCTCCTCCTCCTCCTCCTCCTCCTCCTCCTCTTCGTCCTCTTCGTCCTCCTCCTCTTCGTCCTCCTCCTCCTCCTCCTCGTCCTCCTCGTCCTGCCTCCCTCCAACTTACGGTGGTGGTGGTGGAGCACAAGCCCATCAACTACGTCAGGTTCGTGTCGTGCCGACCTCGTCGTTGGTTTCTGACACCGCGGGGATCGTTCAACCTCGAACGATCGGCCGTTGCCGAACCGTCCGAATCGTTCCACACCGAACGATACTGGGCCGCCCGCGGCGTTCAAAGCTGAACGCCGCTGGCGGGGTCGCCGCCGGTCGACACGACACGAACCTACCGTACAGCGGGCGCCGTCCGACTCCTTATCGAGAGGGCCGCCGTGCACCCCCGGATCTCTGCGAGCGACGATCTTCACGTCCTCACAGAGATGCAGAAGCAACCGCACCAATACAACCTTTTCGGAGGTCCGCAAGGACCTCCGAAAGTGTATGCTTGCTCCAGGTTGTTCAGTAAACGTGGGGGGAGGATCGCGTAGGCGGCAAGAACATATACCGGGCTGTAAGAGACGGGGGTCAGTGCAAACGGGGGCCAGCCAGAACGATTGATCTTGCAAGTTCCTGCAGAGCCATGGCTGCACTGACCCGGGCTAGGGCGCAACATCCTGCAAGATCGTGCAAGACATTGCAAGATCCAGCAAAACCCGACTGACCCGGGTTTGGACTGACCCGGGTCAATAGATCCCCGAATACGGATTTGGATTGACCCGGGTCAGTCGACCCCCAGATAGAATTTGTTGTATTATTGCCGGCAGCGGTCGTCACCCAGGAGGGACGGTGCGGGCAAAGGCAACGCCTGGGAAGGGTGGGGTGCGTCGGGGCGGGGGTGCCGTGCGTATGCGCGCGAGCACCAGCATGTGTGCGACGTAAAAAAACGGGTCTCACGCCACACTGGAGACGAGAGCGACTACGCTCGACCTTGCGCGAGCAGATTACGCGCCAATCGCGGCGAAGACAAACCCGTTTTTCTTCGTCGCTCATGGTGACCTTGTTTTTCTTTCCCAAATATTAATCGTTACCAAGGGAAGGGGGGTCAGGCGGGAGGGTAACGGTAACTAACGGCGGCCGCGGCGTGCACCCGCTAGGGTGGGTCTGCGCTACTGGCGCATCAATCGCCTGTGTGCACCACTGCATGTAGGGAAGGGTCCAGGCCGACTCCCCCCCAATACGATCGTTAGCGTTACCCGCGGGGGTGGAAGGGGGGGTTTGGCCAGGGTAGCCAGCGTTACCCCGGGAAAAACAAAAAAACGCTCACCTGTGTTGGGGGATCCAAGCCCCTCCGCTTAAGATCGTTGCCAGTACCCAGGGAGGGACGGGGGAAAGGCGTGGCCCGGGTGACGACCGTCACGCGCCAGAGGATTGAACGACAACCTCGAATAAACTGTCAGTCGCGGGGCGTTGGGGGCGGAACCGCGTTCGGCGTTGGGTTCGGCGCGCGCGGGGGAGGGCGGACTGGGCCATCGGGCGGAGTGGTATGACTGGGGGCGTTTACTGATCACCCTGGAATCTGCAGCGTTTTGCTTTTCCCTCTCTGGCCTCGGGCGCCATCGGATCGCGCCACCATGCGCCGTCCTCGGCGGAAGAAAAATTGCATAAACAGATGGTTTTCGGAGGTCTGGGCGGATTTCTTTGATAAGCACTGGACCCCACGAGGACCGCGTCAGGGGGGCGCCAGAGGCGCCGCCAAACGGGCCCCCAGCGCAGATCCGGGAAGTCCGCGCAGAACACCAAAAGTTTGTGTTTGTCCCTTTTGGTTGTTTTTATCATTCTTTTCTTCTTCGAGTCCCGGGAGGCCCCTCAGGGCAGGTGGCAGGCAAGCAGCGCGGTGCCACGGCCGCCTCTGCCTCGCGCGCGGCCGCAGCCACTTGGGGGGGGGGCACGATCTTGGAGCCGCGCTGAAGGCCGAGGGGTCTGGGAGGAGGAGCGGCGGACTGGGGATGGACGAGGGGGGGGGGGAAAGGAGGAGGAGGAGGAGGAGGAAGAGAGGAGGAGGCGGAGGAGGAGGAGGAACAGGAAGAGGAGGGGGAGGAAGAGGAGGGGGACGAGGAAGAGGAGGAGGAAGGAGGAGGAGGTCGGGGAGAAAGTTGGACAGGGGGGAAGGGAAGGGCGCGGGGGGGGAAAGGAGGGGCGCGGGGGGAGGGAAGATGAGGGGGAGGAGGAAGATGGGCGACAGGCTGGGCGTGGGCCTGCGCGGCGTTCCTACGTTTGTGTCCCCTCATCCTCGTAGACGCCTTGGCATGCTTAGGACTCCTAGCTCGGTTCCCAAGAGCGCAGGCTGGTTCTAATGAGCGAATTGCTGGGATGATGGGCTCGGCGAGGGTCTGGCCCGACATAGCTCCCCCATGGAAACAATGAAACACATGTGCACACCAACGCTTCGAAGCGAAATCCGAACAGGAGGGGGGGAAGGAGGAGGAGAAGGAGAAGGAGCAGGAGCAGGAGGGGGAGGAGGAGGAGGAGGAGGAGGAGGGGGCGGAAGAAAAGGAGGAGGAGGAAAAGGGGGAGGAGGAGGGGGAGGAGGGGGGAATTGTACAACGGCGTTTTGCAGCGGACGAACACGCAAATCCATACCATAGGTGGGTCTGGCTTTTCCCCCCCCGGGGCTGCGACAAGCAACGCTCGTACGAACTGTTTGATCTGTTGTTCCAGGCTTGGTTTTGGAACCATTGGCTTGGCGAGCGCGCCTGGCCGGCCATATTTTTTTAAAGTGGGCACGCGAGCGGTTGATCAGAACGTCAAGAAACACGCGCGCGTGTTATTCTTGTGGTACTTTTGATACTGCACGCCGTTGTAAGTAAAACCGGGGCGCGAAGGGCGAGAGGAGGAGAACAAACAGATTTAACGCAGAACCTGCGTGAGGGTTCCTTGTAGCACAAACCCCTTGAAATAAGCTCATCGAGTAAGGATTCGACACCACCGAAATCGATGGTGGAAGAAAGCTGGGGAACAGAATCTGTCAAGAGAGCGGGAACGGCGGCTGTGCTACAGGAGCCGCCAAAGCTCTAAAGGCAGACCCAATGTGCGTGGTATGTTCTTTGTCGCTGACGCGTCAAGGACGGTCAGTGGCGAAAACGAGGGATGCTTTCTCAGCAAGAGACCTGGCATCGAAAGGTGTCTTGGTCCAAAACAGCAGCGGATGAGCGATCGGGCGCGCGCAGTTGCAAGCAAGGAGCTACACATATACAGCACAGGAACAAATGGACTCAAACGGCTCATAATTCTAGACGCTTCGCGCAACCACATCAGCCCATCCAGAAACGATGCCCAAAGGAATTGCCTCGATCAGGGAAATCGGCAGCACACATGGGAAGGGCCTCCCAGTGGAGGCCTCTTGGAGCGTCTTGGAGGCCTTTTGGCGGTCCCGGGTGCCTCTTAGAGCGTCTTGGATGCCTTGGGGAACTTCTTGGGGCCTCTTGCGGGTGTCTTGGGAGCCTCTTGGAGGCCTCTTGGGCGCCTGATGCGGCCTCCTGGGGCCTCCTGGGTGCCTCTTGGGGCCTTCTTGAAGCGCTCTTGGGAGCCTTGGGAGCGCTCTCGGGGCCCTCCTGGGCCATCTTGGAGCCTTGGATGACCGCAGGAAGCGAAAAGGCGGGTGAGCCAACAAAACATGGATTTCCCCAAGGTTTTGAAAGGATGTTGGCCTCTTCGGGCCCTCCCGGGGGAGCTCTTTGGCCACTTGGAACCGTATTGGAGCGGTCTTGGGGCCTCTTGGAGCATCGCGGGAGCCATCTTGAGGCATCTCGGGATACCTTGAGCCATCTTGGACGTCATCTTGGGCTCTCGCTCTTGAAGTCATCTTAAGCAGCGCCCCCCCCAGGAGGCCAAACTGCGGCCGAAACCTTAGTGACATTCATGATATTGGCACTGTCGCCGAGGCATCCTGGATCGTCCACGGCGCCTCTAGGGGGCCTCTTGGAGGCCCCCGCGATCGCCGCCAACCGGGCCGCGAATGGCCTTGGGGGGGGGGCTTCCTGGAGCGCATCGACTCCGGTTCTCTGGGCCAGTGCTCGGCGGACGAGGCCCTGGAGTGCCGCGCCCTGAAACACGTCGTCCCATCGGGCCTCGGGGCCCGAGGCGTGGCCGCGCTGTTCCGTCGCGCGCTTCCATCAACGGTGCCTCGTAGAGACCATGGCAGAGTTTGCGCGCTGACGCGCGACAAGTCTGGGCCCGCACTAGAGGGCCCTCTGCGTCGCCGCGCTTGGACCTGGTCGCCTGGGGCAAACTTTTGATCTCGGTGCTTCGGCGCCCGAGCCGCATGGGCCCCTCTCTGCGGCTGCCCCCGGTAGTCCGCGCCGCGACATTCCAGCGCTTTCCTTCGAGAGGCTGGAAGTGCCAACGGCTGCCGACTTGGCGCGCGCGGGGCATCGCGAGGTGCCTGCCGCGAGCAGGGCGGGCGACCTCTGTCCCCGCGCTTCTGGACTGTTAGCGCGAACTCCCAAAGAATCAATAGATTTGACGGGCGAGCCGGGTGGCCGAGATTGGCGTGCATCTTCTGATTCATGTTCCAGAGCCTGGCATCGATCACAAAGCGGGATTGCGCCGCCGGTCCCAGCCGCGCCGCGACCCGGGAACTCGGCCCCCCCGGCTCGTCGCCCAGCGCTCTCTCTTAGGATCAACATCCGGGCGAAGAGTGGACCAGAGCGCGTCCCGGACCCAGGGCGTCGAGAAACGGAACTGGCACGGGAGCTCTCGATGAAGCTGGCCGATGCAATCCGAGGCGCGAGCCTGCCTCGCCCTCCGGTCCACTGCCTGCCTAGTAGCCCGCGCAAGGTGCTCGACGAGCTGAGGGGCACGCCCGCGCCATGGAAGTCCGGGCAGCGCCCCTCTGCGCGCGACCCGGCTGCCCCCCGTCGCAGCGCTGCTCGCTGGGCGAGGCAGCGCGACCGGCATCGCTGCCGATGATTCGCGTCGTTTCTTTCGAAAGCTCTCCGGAGCAGCCCGCGCGCGAGACCGCCAGCTCGACCTCTGGCTGGTCTTGCCAGAGGCTTCTTGACCAGGGTGGGGACTCAAACAGCACGGCCCCCCTCCCTCGGGGCGTTCAAAAACGACGCCTGCAGCGGGCGAACTCGACGGCGGAACGCAAAAACGCCATCCCCTCGATCTGCATCCGGGCCCTCCCCGTGGGATTCATCTCGCAGGCCGCGCTAGAAACTGGCAGGGCGGCCCCTTGGGGAGCCCCGGGCTTTCGGGGCCGGGCGAGTTCACGGGCCAACTGTGCGTCCGCACGACGCCCGAAGTCCGAGCCCGCGGGGGAATCTAGCGACCCCCGCCCCCCCCCTGGGCTGCCGGACATATTCTCGGGAGAGAAAAGACCGCCATCGCACCGCGAGACACCCCCTCCCCCCCGACGACCGACTCCTCGGCGCCCGTGACGAGAGAGCAGGGGGCTGGCCACGGCCAGAGACGCGGAATCAGCTGGGCAAGACGAAGTGGAAGATAGTCGGATACTCGAGTCCGCGGGCGCAGGCGCGGCGCGGGTGAAGACTCCGCGAAGCTCGACGTCTGGTGGAACTGGCGGTGCCGGGCCGACGCGATGTTCCCCGCATCCTGACATGGTCGCGATAAGAGCTGCTGGAATATTATCCATTTCCCTCCGCCGGCGCTTGGAAGTTGCCACCGTGGAGTCGCCGCTGAACTGATCAGCCTCGAGCGGCCGTCGTGACGAACGGCTAAATCATACTCGTCCTCGACGGGGGGAGACACTCGGATGCCCCTCCCGATAGTTGAGCAGTATCCATCTGAGCCCCTTCTCGTGGCGCTTCCCGCATTCCTTCTCGGAGCATCTCGGGCGAGCGAATGCATCGGGCGCCGGCGCGCTCAGCTGAGACTGAGCTCGCTGAAGACGCCGAGATCCGCAGCCGATTTGACTCTCAAGCTAGCCCATCGTGCATGCCGCTCCTGGTACTGCGTGCCGGGCGCCGCTCCAAACGTAAGCGTCGAGGCATCCGGCGTCGCCTGGCCCGAATGCCACCGCTGCCTGTCCTCCGTCGTGGTCTTGACCGGAGTGGCTGGCAGCTGCGGCGTCGGGTGGAGGCGCGGCTGCGTGAGGAGCTGCAGGTCCTAGCTGCGCTGCTGGGTCGCATCGTCCTGCTGGATGATCTCGTCCCCGAGCTCCTGCAGCTCCCCGGCCGCCCTGTCCTGGGTGGACTGACGAAGTCTGCTCTGCTTTGACTGGGCGAGCTCGTCTACCCGCGTCGGCGCGCAGGGCGGCCTCGTCTCCAAGCGGGCGGCCACCATAGGCGCCGTAGGCGCGATGGAGATGTCCACCCTGGTGGCCTTCAGCAAGAGCTTTTTGATTCATGTCGTCCTGACCCTTGTTGCAGCGGCGAACGTTCGGCGCCGGTACTCCGCCGGGGGCCCTGGCCTCGACCCCGGCCCGCGGCCCGGATCGCCCTTGATCGCAAGGGGCCCCGGCTGCGCCTTCACCCGCGGGCCAGGCCAGTAGGCCAGCCTCAGGTCACATAGTCCGCGCAATCGATTCAAGTCGCGCTGGCGCTGGCCCCCGCGCGGCGCCTCAGCGGGCCGCGACGGCACTGCGGCGCCTCGAGCGCGAAGCGGCGCTGCTTCCTCGCGAACGCCACCTGCCAAAGGGCGGACGCATGTGGTACCCCCACTGGGGCCGCGCACGGGAGAAGGAGACGCGGGGACCGTTTCTTCAAAACGAGGACCCACCACCACAGGATGGTTGGGAAAAAGTTCGACCCCGCCGCCCCCCACCGAATTCGACAAACATTAAGCCCCGGAGATAATCAACACTAGAGGAGAAAGGGCGGGGATGCTCTTTTATCCGGGGCATGTGGTTTTTAGCACCAACGCCAGAATCTAGGATCATCCTCCCTTGGTGGAGGCAGCCCCCCTGCTTTGGTGCCGGTGCCCATTTCTGGGCCTCCAGCCTATGCCTGCCCCCCCCCCCGCCGTCGCCACCGACTTCGGCGCGCCGCCAAGCTGCTCCCGCGGGCGGCCTGTCCCGCGGCGGCGCCCCCCAACGCGGGGTCGCAGGCCCGCCTCTTGCCGAGGCCTCCTGCAGATGAGGTCCGAATCTCAAATGGGCCCTGGAAAAGACAGGGCAATTGTTTGACCGCCTCCGTTTGGCCGCATGTGCTGCCGGCTGCGTCGCCGCTCTTGTTGCCGGTTCCGTCGCCGTTCTTGTTGCCGGTTCCGGCTCCAGCTTCAATCCCAGAACCGTTTGTTGTTCCGTTTCTGGTCACCGTCTTCTTCGTTTCCATTTTCAAGAGACGCTCTGTCGGAAACGGTGACAGACGGCCCTCCTGTTGCCTGGGCCAACGAAGGAGTCCGAGAAGACGGGGTCGGAGGATCACACCGCATCGCCAAAAATGCATCGCCGATACACCACCAGTGCATTGGCGATGCATCAGCGACGTCGGCGACGCCTCGGCGCCGTCGGCGTGGGGAAACACGTTCTTCACATCGAGCCGCATCGTCGATGCATCGGCGATGCGACGAGATCCTCCGACCCCGTCTACCCCGGCCCCATCCAGGAGGCCCAGAGAGTGACCTCTGCGCGTGGCTGGGGGGATGTTTTGTTTAACGACACCCAGACCCGCACCAGGGGCCCAGTGCGCGAAAGCTTGCGCTTCACGTCTGGGCCAGGTCAAAGAGGGGGAGGAGGAGGAGGAGGAGGAGGAGGAGGAGGAGGAGGAGGAGGAGGAGGAGGAGGAGGAGGATGAGGAGGAGGAGGAGGAGGAGGAGGACGAGGAGAGGAGGAGGAGGAGGAGGAGCGCGAGGAGGGGGAGGAGGGGAAGGAGGGGGAAGGAGGGGGAAGGAGGAGGAGGGGAGGATGAGGAGGAGGAGGAGGAGGAGGAGGAGGAGGAGGGGAAGGAGGGGAGGAGGGGAAGGAGGGGGAGAAGGAGGAGGAGAAGGAGGAGGAGGAGGAAAGGAGAGGAAAGGAGACGAGAGAAGAAGGAGAGGAGAAGGAGAGGAGAGGAGAGGAGAAGGAGAGGGGGGGAGGGGAGAAGGAGAAGGAGAGGAGGGGAGAGGAAGAAGATGCCTCGCACCCGATCGAGGAGGCCCAGATATGGCCCCCCGGTCGACGGCGGGCCTCGGCCGCGAGGAGGTTCCCCCCCAAGACCCGGACCTCGAGGGGCGGCCCGAGGGCCAGCGCGCCTCCCGGTGGAACTCGCAGAGGCATACTGGTGCTTTGACTATTAGTGGATATATCTATATATTGATCATTTTCAAACTATTCTGACTATTTTTGACTATTGACTATGTTTGACAATGTTTGGACTATGTGTTAACTATTTGACTATTGTTTGACGATTTGTTATGTTTTGACTACTTTTGAACATTCCCCCTGTAGGGGGATAGGCCCGACTTAATGGTATCTCAACGTCTCGATCGCAAGGAAGCAATGGAACGCACAAAGACATGATCGTGCCTTGTGTTCTCTTTGGAGGCGCGCATCCGACCCAAATGTATCGCAGACCCATCTTGTAGCGTATCGCCTCCCGAGCGGTGTGGCCAGAAGGCGCTCGCCACGACGCATGCACTACAAGACATTTCTCGGGGCGCGCATCGCCCACGGGGGGTGACGCACACATAGTACAAGTATGTCGGGGTGACGCCGACCTGAGCGCAGAGCATCGGCGGCTGGCTCAGGGAAGGGGAACCGAGCAAGGGCGGGCCTTCTCTGAAGGCTCTGAAGCACCCCATCAAAGAATTTCTGGAAGAGCTGACGGTAGGGGTGGACGATCACGAGGGAGTCAGCCTCGTCATGGGGCGAACGCTTTCGTTTTCCACTTTCCCAACCCTCACGTCTCGCAACAACGCAGGCATCGTCCACGCCGCCTGATCCCTTCCCTCGGCGGCGAGCGAGGGAGGGAAGTGAGCAAGAGCGGGCCTTCTCGGAAGGCACGGAAGCGCACCCCGGCCTTCCGAGGAGTTCCCCGAGCCTTCCCCGCAGACGCGGCGCGAGGGCTCCCGAGAAGCCCCGCCGCCTTCCGAGAAGGCCTTCTCCTTCTCACGCTCCCTCCCCCGCTCGCCGCCGAGAGCGGTCCTCGTTCCGTCGTCCTGGCCGTGCGCCAGGGGGGCGGCGCGGGCACACGGTGCATCCGCGCACGAGGCGGAAGCGCTCGACGCGAGCACGGGCCGTGCCGGCCGGGGCGAGGGGGGCAGCGAAGCGACCAGGAGGGTCAAACAATCATGGTAGAACTACCGTCGGCCTTGATTGGACAGGACACGCGAGAGGACACAAGACCCTTCCGAGGGCCACATCGCCATAGGAGTGTAATAAGGCACGTGTCGCGAGGCACAAGACACAAGGGTACCCTTGAGCTGGCAGGGTCGACCTACTAATCCGGGCCGACTGTACCGAGCACGCACACGCTCTCTCTCACACACGCGTAGTTCCGGAGGTCGCATCGCACACTGGCGTCAACGTCAGGATCTGCGGCGACGCGGACGCGACGGCGCGCACTTTTGCGTCGCGCCCTAGCAGCGCCGCCCAACTGGAGATAGGCAAGAAGTCCAGCTATTCCAAGTCATCGGCAAGCGTCTCTACAATGCTACGACTATTAGCTCTGGAGCTACATCCTAAGAAAGAAATGCATAGGGCGGAACCCAGCACGCACAAAAATTCAAACCGTCAGCGCGGACCTGGCTGCCGAACAAGGGGAGGCCCCCCTGTTCCCTGCGCCCCTTCTGTCCCGCATCCCCTCGTTGCTCATCCCCCGACATGTCTTCTCATCCCGCGCTCCTATTTGGACACCCGAAATGGGTACGGAAAAAATGGGCACAATGCCCAACAACAAATGTTGTCCCAAACCAACAGCTGCCGCTGTTGGGTAGGCGGCCATCTGTCTCAAATGTACACAGGCCGCGGCGACACCGACAGCGAGTCCTGTTCAAAATGAGCAGGAAACGCTGTTGGGCATCGCACCCATTATTTCTGTGCCCATCTCGTTCGTGCAGATGGTCCTAGATCCTTGCCTGCTGCTCCGTTGCCGCGCTCCCTTCCTCATGGCTGCCCACGCACGCGGTGGGGTTTGATGCCGAGGCGAGCGGCAGCAGCACGTGCTGCGCTCGACCTTCCGAGGGCCAGCTCCTCGGCCCGGGCAGGAGAAGCTGCTACCGCAGGTCCCGCGCCTTCGACTCTTGCACGGTGGCCCCCTCCCAGCTCCCAGGGGTGACAGAGCGGTCGTGTCCAGGGCAGTCATGCCAGGACAAGGCAGGAGGCAGTCCCTCCCATTTTCTCATGGCCCACTGCCGACTCTGGCATACGAGCGTGGAGGCTTGAAGAAATAGATCGAGGGGCGAGGGCGGAGTTTGCTGCTGATTCACAGGGGTCTGGACATATCAGGCAAGATCAATCAGCATCGAATCGGAAAATTAGATCGGATCGGAATGTGCATCGAATCTGCCCGCCTCAGCAAGGGACCGAGATCTAATCGGACCGGCTGCGCCAAGATGCACAGCAACGCCGTGCGAGAATCGGGCCGCATCGGACCGTCTGAATATCGGAATCGAGTCGGGCTTGCTGGACGCGGCATCGAGTCGGGCAGATCCTATCCAACATGGAACCTAACATACCAGGGGCTCTGGCGGCAAAGTCGTGTCAGCCATGGGAGCGACGAAAAGAAACAGGTCTTACGCACGATGACATAGCGACCTTACGCCGCGGCTTACGCGGGCCGCCAGCTTGGCGCACCGCGTTGGGAAGAGAGCGCTTACGCGCGACCGTCCACAGGAAGCTTACGCGCAAATCTCCGCGCAACCGACCCCGTTTTCTTCGGTCGGCCTCGTGACAGTGAGCGGCGCCGCTGCAAAGAAAGTGCTGCGCGCATGCGTTCGCGCACGGTGTGTGCGCGCGCACGTCCGCGCAGGCGCGCTCGCTCTTGCTGGCGAGGCTCGCGCTCGGTGGGGCGGACTTGGCCGCAGTGTACGGCCTGCCCAAACCGTTTTGGACAAGAAAAACAATCCTGATCCGGTGGCAACTCACGGGAGTCATCTTGCTGGCTGTTGCGAATCGGCGTCAGCCGACGCTAAGTCGTGACGCAAGTCGACTCCAAATCGGCCCCGCCTCATCGATATCCAAACGCGAGCCGACGCTGAAGACGGAGGGTATACGATGCTCCCAAGGTTTGCTACCGAGTCCTGAGGGGCAGCGATGCCGTCATCGGCTGCGCCTGCTTCGCCCCTGGCGCTGGTCGTGCACAACTGCAACAGCCTTGCAACTTCTGGGCGCTCCTTCCTGCCTCGCCCGCAAGCGAACAGGCGGCGTCTGCCAGCGCAGGCTCGCGCGCCCCCGCGCCTCCGGGGCAGTGATCGGGGGATGACATTGGCCTCGCCATCGCTTGGACGTCCATTCCCCATACATGTTTCGGTTTCGTGCGTGTCGTTTTCTGGCTCGATGGTCCAGGATGCCTCGCCGAGAAACAGTGCACAGGTCCGAGCGAATAAGGGGACTTGCCCACAGGGGGGGAACACGGGTCTGGAACCGGCGAGGCATTCATGACAGGTCAGCGACAGGCCCCCGACGGTGACGCCGCACGTTCCTTGGCGGGGCGGGAGGCCCCGGGCGCCCCGACTCGCGATGATCACGTGGGTAGCTGGGGGGACTGGCACCAGGGGGCGGGACCATCGACGTGGAATCGGCGGTACAATCGGCGAGAGGCCCCCGACAGCGAGTCCGCACACTCCTGGGCCTGGCGGGGCTATCGGGCACCCCGTCGGCGATCAGTGGGCGAGTGGGGGCCGATGCTTCCCCCCCTCGGGCCAGACCGTGGGTGTGGCTGGGAGTCCTCCTGGCCCAGGGTGCCCCCCAGGATGTCCAAGGAGGCCCACGCGGCCTCCGGAGCACCCCTGGCGAAGCCCAAGGGGGCCCATGCACGGGCTCCAAATGGGAGCGGAAATCTGGAGTCCCGAAACGGTGCGGTGACGGACCGCGAAGTGACCTCGGAAAACCCAGGAGACCTCACCGCACGGTCCGTCACCGCACGGTTTTGGGACCCTGGAGGCCCCTGCCGCCCGAGACGTCCTCGGTGAGAGGGACTCGAGTCCCAAAACCGTGCGGTGACCCCGAATCCCCACCGACTAACCGCACGGTGTGGTCACCACCCCGTTTGGGGGTCCCCGAGGAAAGCTGGCGGCACCTCGGGCCCGGGGCACCGGTGGCAACATCCGCAGGTCCTCCCTGTCGTTGCCCTCGACGTCCCCCCGCCCCGACGCTACCAGGGAAGCCTCGGCCCCGCCGGCCGACCTAAACCGACCCCCTCCTTGGTGACGCGCGAACGCACGTCAAGCGATAACCGATGGGTTGGTGTTGTGGATGCCATGCCAATAGACACTCTAGCAACCCCATCATTGGATTAAACATGTATTGAAATGCGGAAAAATGTTCTAAAAATGCTTTTGCATCTAAAAAACTCTAGACATCTGGAAATTATTTGGCAGCATACTTCCTCTCCACTAATCGACTTCCACCAGGTTGGTTGCACTGGGATCTTGTCCTCTAGCGCACGACAACCCAGGGCTGACAGGGTGCCATTGATACAAAAACGGCCACGAAACAACAAGCACGGGAGTTCAACACCATACATCAGCGTTGCAACAGTGTCGTCGCGAATTTGAATTTCATCATATTGCGTTGGCAGGGCAAGATCCCGCCCAGCGGGATCTCGCCCAGGCAACATCCCGCCCAACTCTTCCCACACCAGCGGCGCGCTGACCTGTGAAACACATGGGGTTCCTGCACTTCTCGGCAACATCGGATCTATCCTCGAGCGCGAAATATACCCGTACCCTTACCTAGACAGGGTGGCAAGGGGCCGGGGGGGGCGGTTCGTCGCAGCGGACGGCGGCTGCACAAGTGTAGAAACGACAGCCGGTCGAGTATTACAGACCACTGTCTTCTCGGGGCGCGCGTTAGCACCGATCGCACGTGCGTTCGAATCGGCGGAGTGCCCGACGACCAGCTACTGCGAAGGCGCGCCCCCGGACACACATCCGGGCGTTGAGGAGTCAACGCGCACTCGGGGGCGCATGCGAACAACTCTGGCGCGAACGTCATTGCGCGACAACCGCCCTATCGCGAATTGCTCGATGCAGAGACATCGCGAATCTGTGCCCTGGGCGAGGTCGCCAGAGGCCGCCCCCCTTGGACGGCCGTCTGCGGATCACCCCAGCTAGGTACGGTTGCCCCATGAAAACCCCAAAACATACCCGTACCTAGCCGGGTAACCGCAGCTCACCCCAGCTAGGTCCGGGTATGTTTCGGTGGTTTCAGGCAGGTCCCCGTACCTAGCCGAGGTGGCGGCAGGCCCAAAACGCTCTCGAGCACATATCATGCCCTCCAGAGCCGTCCCCGACGTGGCCGCTGCGGCCCCCTGGGGGCGCGACATTGCAACGTCGTTCCTCAGGGCAGGCCCAGACGCATTGGTTGCCAGGATAGCGAAGAAATGCAACTCTTTACCGATTGGGACAGGCGCCGCCACATATGGGCGGCTTTGAACCGCGCAGGCACCACGATGCCCCGAGACGTCCCAACAAAAACCAGCGCTTGTCGCTGCAATCAGACACCCAACCATCGAGCGCGCCGTTGCGTCTTGACGCGCGGATGCTGCACTGGCGCGCGCGGGGGGCAAGCTGACCGGGCACAATAGCAAGCGCCCAGTCCCCCGGACGGCCCATCTCACCTTGGCTGGCCCCGGGTACGGGTACCTCACCTTGGCGGGGTGGCATAGATCTATGCCACCCCGCCGGAAGCTTCAAATGTGCCTGGGGGTCCAGCGCGGCCCCGCAGACGCCCAAACATCAAACCCTCCAGAGCCCTCAGGACGACGAAGTAGGCCAGCGGCGCGCACAAAGGGGGTGGCGCGAGGGGGGTGACCTTCTACGAGGGCGGCGAGCTCCTCTTGAAGATGGGGGGGGGGCCTTCTGAAAGGGCCTGGAGGCTTCGAAGAAAGCTGCCGAGGAGCTGGGAGAGCTTCCGAGAAGCTCCCTCGCGCACCCTCCCCCCGTGTGCGCGGCGCCAAGCCTTGACCCCGCTGCGGCAGCGCTGGGCTGCTGGCCCCATCGAGCCCGCCCCTCCTCGAAGTACGGCAAGCAGAGCCCGCGCGCTCTCTCATGGCTCCATCCTGTGCAGCTTGTCTCGCCTCCGCGGGTGGATGCCCGGCCCGCCCCCTCCAAAGATGTTCTCCTCCGGCCCTCTGGGTCGCTTCCCTGCTCCCCCATCCTGCTTCCCCCCTCCCCTCTTGATGCTGATCCCTGCTCATCGTCCTCCTCCGCCCTCCTCATCATCTCCCTGTTCCTCCTCCTCCTCCTCCTCCTGTTCCTCCTCCTTCTCATCCTCCAGCTCCCTACCCCTCCTCGTCCATCCTGTGTCCCCCTTGTCCTCGCCCCCGAAGTCTGCATGAACGACCACCGTGCCCCCTCCAGACCCTCCAGAACCGTGGGGCTTATGCCGCGCAAGACGGCAAGATCGATACGACATTAGAGGAACGGGAAGAAGAGGAGGAGGAAGCAGAAGAAGAAGAAGAAGAGGAGCAGGAAGGAAGAGGAGACGCGGGAGGGGAAAGGAGGAGAGGGAGCAGCAACAAGAACACGAAGAAAACGAGCGGGAGAACGCGTGCACTGGAGCGTACCAACGGGACCCTTTCTAGGTGAATATCCAAAGAACTTTCTCCGTTTCAGGAAGGGCGTGCCCGTTCTTTTATCTGTTACGCTATTTCTAACTACACCCGAGCGCGAAGGGCCGGGCATCTTGTCGACACGATCTGCGAGCGCTGCGACCAAGGAGCGGCAACTCCGCCACCGCCTCCGGGAGCGCCAAGCCTGCCACGACCTTAGGAACGGGCCTGTGCCAGCTGAGGTTCGAAAGTGTACTTCCGAGAGTGATGACAATTTGGCTTGCCATGGTGCCTTTCGCTACCCAGGTGATCGATGTCACCAATCGCTGTTGGATGAAACACCATTAACCGCCAGTCGGAAGAAGCGCGTGGAAACATGACGTAGGAAGGCGCTGAAGTATTTCGGGATTTTGCCTACCCCCCCGAAGAGAAAGGAAGAGGGAAAACCGCTCGACTCTTCAAATAGGACGGCGCCTGAAATCGATTGGGATCTTTGCGTCCCAAAATACATACGTTCGACAACCGATGCGTACTGAGACTTGCGAGGGGTATCGCGCTTTCTTCGATCAGGGCGTTACGTTGCTGGGCAGACTTTCGTGGACGGATCGCGCCTCCGACTCTAAATGGCGGAGCTTGCTCGTGCTGGATGGACCGCCACCTTGCTCGACCCCAATATCAACCAGGATATACAAGATTCGGCCTGACCTATGGAACGATGAATAAGGAACGAAGCCCTTTTTTCCCAAGTGACCTACGAAGTCCGAAGGAACGGACCCGCCGCGTCCAAAATCTAAAGGAAAACCAGGGGGGCTCGCCGCCAAAAAGGTTGCAGAACGCATGCAAGCCAAAGGAACGACCGAGCCTCTTTTGAAAATAAGCGTTCCTTATTCAAGCCGCATCCTGTAGTTCGCCATCCAAGAGGAAAGAGACAAGGATAAATATAAACGGTCGACGCTCCGCACGGATCAAAGAAATCCGCACGGAGCGTCGAACAATTATGTTTATGTCGTTGTTCGTCTTCGATATCCGTGGGCCTGTCTTGCCACCCTACACCCAGACTCCCCAGAACGCCGATTACCATTCCTTCTGTGCTGCTGCCAGGCCAATTGCTGCTGTGTCACTGGGTACTCTGATTGTCAGACTGTTGTCGGCATCGCTGCGGCGCCCTATATTACGCCGCCCAATCATAAGTTGAAGAAACGGTCGACGACCGCGATCATTGCTTGCATCTTGGCGATGCAGCCGTGCTGCTGAAAGAAGGCGCGCCAAGTAAATAACGAAGCCCCTTGTTGGCCCTAAAAGCGCCTGCGTGGACGAGGCGCGCGCGCTACAGATACAGCAATAGGACTTCAGGAACATCGAGCCACTTGCGAATCCAAACTGTTCCTTATTTCAGCATCTTGGCTGTAATCACGTGGACGCTTCCGCCCGAGTTGCTGCCTCACTCCACCCTACGGCTGATTCGTGTGATCTCGAGCTACTGGGACCTGCAGCTCGCAATCTCGGGGTCGGCAAGGCCGCTCAGCTTTGAGCTCGACGTTGTCAGGCTTTTGCTGTTTGACATTCGCGTCAGGGGGTGACTCGAAGGAGGCAAAAACGCAAAAAGCCAGCAACTCACCCTCCATTGAGTCGTTGCCGAAAAAGCGAGGCTCCACCAAGCCCTACCCCAGAGGGGAGATTGAAGAGGAAGGATGAGGATGAGGAGATGACTCGACGTTGTCAGGGAGTGCGGAGGGGGCCCTGGGAGGAAGCCTGCAACGTCACGCCAGCTGCAGCAGAACAGCAATTTCTGAAAGGGCAACACTTGTTTGATTGGTTTGTTTTGGGGGGGCTAAGGCCCCCAGAAAATACCAAGACGGGGGCGGGTTGTTGTTGCCCCCCTCTGGCTGGTTCGGGTTCGGAAGGGTACAATATGGACCTGGAGGTGTTCGAGGCGAGAGTTCCTGGGTGTATCTCTCTCTCTCTCTCTCTCTTTTTTCTCTCTCCCTCTCTCTCTCTCTCTAGTGTTATCAGGTTTCTCGGCTCATCGCGCACCTTCACTGCAAAACCTACAGCTGCCACGACCGAGCCCACAACCTTCTAGAGACATGCAGGACTCACCCGAAGAACGCGGGGACCAAATCCGCATGGTCTCGCACTTCCCGTGGGCACAACCCAGATCGTGACGATCTCATGTTTGAGCGCGGGCCGTGGTCTCGGTGATCGCGGCTCGGTCAGGGTGCACGGCCCACGGTGCAGCCTTGCAGATCACCCACGGCGAACGGCCCGTGCGGCCCGTCGCGGTCAAATCCTCCTCCTTCGTTTCCTCCCAATTATCAGCATCGTTCTCCTCCTCCTCCTCCCTCCTCCTCCTCCCCGTCCCCTGGCGTCCCACCGTCCGCTCGGCCAGTGGCGGAAGGAGCTCACGACGGCAAGCTTTGCCTCGATACGGGCCTCTGGAGGCTTTTCCTGGGCACTGGGGGCATCAACGCCAAAGCCGTAACGAGAAATGGGCCCTCAAGGCGGGGGTCGAGAGATCCACCGGCTGTGTACTCCCCCAACAAAAACCCAAAACGGTCTGCACCTCTCCACAGCCCGGCAAACGCACGACATCCAGAGGAGTACCAACTGCCTGGAAGAAGAACAATAATCAGATCTTGTCCTCAGGAACTAATCACCTGGATTGGGCTAGATCGGCCTGCGATTCCAACTGACGAGGATGTGAAGCCATGGCGGGGGCTAACCTAAGGAAACACGTGACTTCTTGAAGCAACCTCTGCAGAACTCACATTCTGAACTGCCTGTTCGGCCCCGCGGTACGTCCTGAGCCCGCAGAGTGCGAAGAGGACCAGGGGCAAGATGAAATTGACCTCCGCCCGCTTGCCACGCTTTCAAAAACGCGGCATCGATCACATCGTGCCGCTACTTCCACTTCTCGGCGGCGCGCACAAAGGGGGCTGCGCAAGGAGGCCAGCTCTGGCTCCTAATCGACTGGGAACCTTAGCAGAAGGGCCTGGAGGATTCGGAGAAAGTCTCTCAGAGACCACCCGCCTTCTTAGAACTCCCATTACCCTCCCAGAAAACAAACCAAATCGTCCCACTCGCGCCACCCCTGTGTGCACGCCGCCAGCATACGCAATCACTCCAGAATGTTTGCGTGGGCGCCCTGCCTCATGCAGTTGTTGAACGGCGGCACAACCCATCAAGGCAATATACGCAAAGGTCGGTGCGTATGACAGGTTGCTTGGCCATCCAGGAGCCCTCTTGAGGTCCTCTCGAGGCCCTCCTAATGCACTGAGACAGCCGAGCGATGCCTCCCCAGAAGGACCCAACTAGGAACTCACGCCTGCCCAAACAACGCGCACACACATGCACACACAAACACACACACACACAACACACACAACACACAACACACACACATACACAACACACAACACACACCGCCACACACCACACAACCCACACAACACAATGCACAACACACACACAACACACACCAGACACAACACACACCACACACACAACAAACACACAACACACACCACACACGAACACACACACACACAACACACAACACACACAACACAACACACAACACACACACAACACACACAACACACACAACACACAACGCTCAACACACACACACACACAACACGCACACCACACACAGCACACACAACACACACACACACCACACAACACACACCACACAACACACACCACACACCACACAACACACACAACACACACCAGACACACAACAAACTGTTGTACATGGCAAGCCGGACGGGCGTCTCAAAACTCTCTTGGGGCACTGTGTTGTGTTGTGGGGTGGGGGCGCGCGGGGCACCCGCGGTGCTCGCTTGTATCCCCGTGGGGGCCGCATGGGCCATACCTTGCCCCTGCCCACTGGCGCTACTGGTCGGATTTTCGACCCCCCTGCCCCCCCGGACTAAGAGATCTGCAGTTCCATGGCGCCCGAGGGTGACCCTCCAGGAGGTACTGAGCCAGACGCTCTCCCGCACGATCGGAGAGCAAAGCGTTGCAAGCAACCCTGGACCATTCCAGCTCTACCTTCATTGCATGGCTTCGCGATTCTACATCAATGAGTAGGCACACCCACGCGCGAAGAAGTGTAACTTCGCGCAAGCCAATGCGATGCTATAGTCATGCTTCCCGCGACTTAGCATTAATAACACGGAGAACAGTTCATTGTGTATAATCTGACCCAGTAGGTACGACGTTGGCTGACCTGCCGAAGTGATATATACATCGAGCCCCTCCACGGCCTAGCGAGAGCGGCCTGGTCAAGCAGGTGCATGGGATGTAGGTAGAGGGGCAATCCAGGAGATAGCTGGACATCCTCGCCACGTCGAACAACGCCACCCCCCAGCCCCCCGCTCCCGTTCCCCCTCCCTCGTGGGGGGGTCTCCTCCTGAAACCTCTCCCCTCCTTAACCGCCTCCTCCGCCTCAGCCTCCCTCTTACCCTCCTCCTGAAACCTTCCTCCGCCTACTCAGGAGGCGAGATGTGAGAAGGGTGCCTTTTTTGGGGGGTGGACTCGTGCGCAATGGCAATCTCATGCATGGGTGTATTGGCCTGCTCGACGGCCTCGGAGATGGATCGCGCAATGTGTGATCTTCTAGTCGCTTCAGAAATTAACACTGATTACCAATGCAAGCAAGAAACATCGCAACAATGACTCTCAAGTCGGGTGAGGAAGGAGAGGGGGCGGAGGGCGGAAGGGCATGCGGGGGAAAGACAACGGGGACAATAGGAGAACACGACACGCTCTGCTCTTCCCGCCGCCCTGCCCCAGGCGACCACAGATGAGAAAAACAAGCCTCCCCAATTGGAGATCGTCTCGAAGCCGTGGCCTGTCGATGCAGGCACTGCATACCAGAGGCGGCTAAAATCCCCAAGCACCAGTGCGATCATGGCGGATCACTGTTCATGATATCCTGAGGGCGATCGGTAACATGATGCCCCACAATGCCAGAGCAGCAGAGGCTGCCAGGAGGACGTGACGGGGAATGGAACTTGAATACGTACATACAATGTTGAAGTTTCCGAAGCTGCTAATGAACGGGCGAGCCTACGGATCACAGTTTCGAGCGTGCTGCCCATGATGGCGTGAACTTGTCCTTTCCTGTCTATGGCAACGGCGAGCATTTCCCCTCCTCCTTCTGTGTCTCAGCAATAGGCCGCAATGAGCCTATGACGGCAACAGGACTGCACCAAGGTTTCGGAGTTCTCCAAGCGGTGCATCCACCGAGTTGTCGGGTGTACAGATGGTGCCGCATGAAGATGGCAACATTCGGGGGCCTTCTCATCAACCACCATGTCGCCTTCTTCCGATTTCCAATGCTGCTCACCCTTGTGTGGTGCGCAAACTGCATCTCCGCTTCTGCTCTCTGCCATCGTGAATGTATGCACTTTGAGCCTGAACGATCAGCACGAACATCGAAACGAATCCACACCAAGGACACGAGCAACGACACAATGCACGGAACACGTGGTCCCAGCTAATGAACCAGAACCAGCAGGGGCTTGTATAAAAAACAAGAAAGCACGGAAGGGATGCAATACCCCCAGACCTTGGACGTCTGGGTGAAGCTACTGCAGCGGCGCAATATTCATGGCTAAGGATGTGCCGAAGAGGCAGGGATGCAAGGCCATTCCTGATGAAGCACTGCTGCATCCTTGCACATCGGTCGGAAGAAGTAGGCAAACACATGAAGTGGGAAGGCGGATCCAGTCGATTGGGCCCAGGCCCTCCCAGAGGAGATCGAAACACTTCAGTATCTTACTGGGCCCTGGAAACGACAAGGCCGTTTTTTGTTTCCGGTTCCGTTTTGCCGTTTGTTTGCCGTTCCGACGCCGTTTTTCTACCGGTTCCGTCGCCGTTTTTGACCGGTTCCGGTTCCAATCCGGGAGCCGTTTTTGCTGCCGTTTCCGATCGCCGTTTTTTGGCCGTTTCCATTTTCAAGGGACATTTTTTTGGAAGCGGTGGAAAAACGGCCCTGCCGTTTCCGGGGCCCACAGAGTCATGCCGATCCATCTTGAAACAGGAGGGCGCCAGAAGTAGACTGGGATCTGGCGATCCAGAAGCACCCACTTTCACAACGACCGACGGGCACCTTTGACCCAAAACGCAGCCCATGGGCCAACCTCCCGAGGCCCCCGGGGTCCCCCCAAGACCTTCCAGGAGGCCCCCAGGAAGCTCCCAGGAGGCCCCAGGAGTGCCCCAAGAGGCGCCCAAGAGGCCTCCTCCTCCTCCTCCTCCTCCTCCTCCTCCTCCTCCTCCTCCTCTTTTTTCCTCATCCTCCTCTTGCTCCCCCACGCGTTCCTCGAAGTCTTCCCGAGGCCCCCGGAGATCCTCGGAGGCCTGGCCGGCCCCATGGCCGCCCCCGGGCCCGCCAGCTGGCGTCCCCAGGACCAGGCGGCAGCCGGTGCGGAGGCCTCCAGACGCCCCCAGAGACGGGAAAACTCCCCCCCCACACATGAGAAAGCATCCGCATCAGTCCTTGGTCAGGAGACTTCCGCATCCACATCCACAGCTGCCGATGCTCTGCCCTTGCATCCCGGGGGGCGGTGGGCGTGCCATTCTACTGGCCTGGACCACCCTCACCTCGGGGAGGGGCAGAGATCCATCCCCACCACTCCCAGGAGAGGCTTTCGAGATCCAGGCTCACGATTCCGAAACCACGGATCTGCTTTGCGGCAGGTGCGGTGGACCCAGGGCCTTTGTGGGCCCCGGAAACGGCAGGGCTTTTTTTTTACCGTTTCCAAAACATGTCCCTTGAAAATGGAAACGGCAAAAAAAACGGCGACCAGAAACGGAAACAAAAAGCTCCAAGATTGGAACCGGAACCGGTCAAAAACGGCGACGGAACCGGTAACAAAAACTGCGTCGGAGCCGGCAAAAAACGGCAAAACGGAACCGGTAAAAAACGGCGTCGGAACCGGCAAAAAAACTGCAAAACGGAACCAGTAAAAAAACGGCCCTGTCGTTTCCAGGGCCCACTGAGGACTGGACCACCCTCACCTCGGGGAGGGGCAGAGATCCATCCCCACCACTCCCAGGAGAGGCTTTCGAGATCCAAGTTCACGATGCCGAGGCCACGGATCTGCTTTTCTCGGGGATCCTCTGCATGACCCGGGTCAATCCAGACCCGGGTCAGCCAGGCCTTGCAGAATCCTGCAAGATCCTGCAAGATCCTGCAAGACCCTGCACCCAACCCGGGTCAATGCGAAGGATCCTGCAAGATCCTGCAGGATCCTGCACCCAAACCCGGGTCAATGGGAGCCTGGCGCATGCAGATCTGGCGCTCTGGCTGACCCCCGTTCGCACTGACCCCCGTCTCAAGGCTCCCGATTTTCGGCAGGTGCGGTGGACCCGGGGCCCTCCAGCTCCCCCCCGACGAGGCGGCAGCGAGCCCTGGAGGCCCCAGGAGAGGCCCCTGCGGAGGTCCGAGGCGCGCAGCACTGCGGAGCCGAACGCTATACACCGGCGCTTTCTCCGGCCCTGCACTGAAACTCGTACAGGAAAGCGGATCTGTCATGCGGGGGCCTTGATTGCACAGGACACGCGAGGGGACGCAAGACCCTTACGAGGGCCACATCGCCACAGGAGCGCAAGAAGGCACGTGTCGCGAGGCACAGGACACAAGGGTACCCTTGAGCTGGCAGGGTCGACCTACTAATCCGGGCCGACTCTACTGAAACTCGTACAGGAAACTCGTACAGGTGTACAGGGGATGCTGGTGTATACATGTTCGTCATTTCCCCAGGAGAACGGGGGAACAACTGTACACCACACCACCCCGACGTCGTCCCTGACCCTCAAAAGTCCAGGGACTGTAAAACAGCACGCCACTGGTTATGTATATGTTCCAGTTTCAGAAAAACCAAAAAAAACACCACGCATCCTTTACGTCATCTCTTCCAGGGCTGAACCCAAACGGTGTTGTTCGTTTTCGTTTTGTTTTCGTTTTCCTTCGTTTTGTCCTCAATCCGCCAGTAACGCAGGACGACATCGAGGCGAAAACGGCCCACGAACTCGCCAAAATGCTGTTTAGTTCCACCCCTGATCTCTTCTCGGGGGCGCGCAAACACGGATGAGCGATCCGTGGATTGGGCTCGCGGTCGCCACGTCCATTGGATCGGGGGAGGTGACCCTCCCCAAAATGCGGCCGGCGCCGCCTCGCTCGGCGACGGAAGCCCGCGATTTCCCGTGGGACTGGGACCTGTCGCTAATCCACGCCGCATTGATCCATTTTTGCGATCGCCGGATCTCCCACCACGTGATACTCAAGGGGCCCTGGGACACACAAATAAATAGACGCAACTAACAGGATTCTCCATATTTTCCCATATCTTCTGGGTTTTGTCTTCCCCCCCACTTCCCATATTTTCCTATATTTTCTCGGGAATCGACGATTAATTGTGTCTGTGTGTGTTTCTTTCCTCCCTGAGATACTTCGAGCGCCCCGGGAGCCCTCCCGAGCCCGCTTCGGCTCCAGTGCCCCCCCAGGGTTCCCTCCCGAGCCCGCTCGGCGCTCAAGGCCCCCGCGGCCGCCGAACGGGCTCGAGATCGAGCCCATGGAGCGGCGGAGCGGGCCCGACTGCCACGAGCCTGTGGGAACTGCGCCCGTTCGGGGAAACGGACGGATACCCGTTAAGTCGGGCCTGTCCCTCTACAGGAGGAAAACTCAAAAATAGTAAAAACATGTCAGGGGACGATTCTTCGAATATTTGTGAAGATGTTTGGAACATGTTTTGACGTTTTTCTGAATGACATCAGGGTGGAGGGCTCAGGGTGAAATCCATAGGGGCTTTGACAGACTGGCAACGTCTCGAACGAGTATCGCCTCCAAGGGCCCGACACGGGAAAAGCCTGCAGTCTCGGTGTTTCCTTGGTGCTCGAAATTATTTGTCATCAAGGCTAAAGAAGGTTGGAACAACCTAAACCCAGCCAAGAACCAAAACACACGAGTGCCCCGAAGACACCCAGAGTAGAGCTCAAAAGGTTCCTAAAACGAGCCAGCACCCAAGAAGGCGGGACTAATCAGCATCGCATCGGAAAGCTTGGTCGAATGGAATGTGCGTCGGATCGGGCTCCCCCGACACGGAGCCGAAATTGAATCGGATCACCTGCGCAAGGATGCACACCAGCGCCATGCAAACATCGGGACGCACCAGCTCGTCGTACTTTGCTGGCCCAACGGGCCAGAGGCGTGCTAAAATCTCCGTCAAGAGCTCCAAACTATTTCTAGTTCGCGAGTGCGGGGCGACCCCTGGGAGTCCCTGGACGAAACACTGCCAGGAACCCTGCGTAGTGCCATGGGCTCCCAAAGGCGCTCCAAGCCAGCAGGGCGCCTCAGGACGGTCCAAGAGGATGCCATGACGGTCCAACTGCGTTCCAAGACGGCCGAAGATGGCCTCAGGATAACTTCTGATTCAGAGGGTGCCACGACAGCCTAAGACAGCCCAACATCGCCTCAAGCAGCCCGAGGTCCCAGAATAGAAACCACATTGATTACCTATATGTGTTTCATCCAACGACTCTCAAAATCTTACCTTTTCGGGCCACCGTCGGCTCAAGACGACCAAAAAGCTCTTCAAGATGGCCCCAAGTCAGCCCAAGAGACTCACTGGACGGCCACAAGACGGCCGAAGAAGCCTCCCAACAGGGCTCCAAAGGCCTCCGAGAGGACCCACGAGGGGGAATCCGAATTGCCCCGAGACCTCAGCCCCCGAGCCTTCCCCGAGCCATAGCCCCCGAGACCGTCAGCAAGCTCCCAAAGGACCCCCGGAGACCTGTCAAAGACTGCCGCAAGAGGCCTCAGGAGGTCTCAACATTGCCGCCAAGAGGGCTCCGAGACGCCTCCCGAGGGACACCGAGAAGCCTATTGAAGATGCGTCTCGTCCACAGCCCCTTTTGGCCCCAAGAGTGCTCTGAAACCTAATCGAGATGTCTCCTCCTCCTCCTCCTCCTCCTCCTCCTCCTCCTCCTCCTCCTCCTCCTCCTCTCTCTCTCTCTCTCGCCATGAACATACCAACAAATAGCAGCAGTGATGCAATACGGGCTGGAAGAAAGCGGGACGGATCAAATCAACAATGCAAGAACCGCATCGGACCGAGCCTGCCAGCACCAACATCATGCCGGATCGATCGGACAGAAATGTCGGCGGTGGACAACCTTCCCTCCAGTAAACCACCCTTTAGCGAAAACGGCCCAAAACCAAAAACGACGAACCCGGACCCGCAAAAATGACGGCCACGACGCCCTCTCGCGAACCGGAAACGGCCAATTCGCTGATCGAACCGAAGTGGGAGGTGGAGGAGGAGGAGGAGGAGGAGGAGGAGGAGGAGGAGGAGGAGGAGGAAGAGGAGGAGGAGGAGGAGGAGGAGGAGGAGGAGGAGGAGGAGGAGGAGGAGGTCAGGAGGTCTACCAACCCCCGAAAGTGGGCCCGTGGGGCAGGCCGCTGGACGGATCCCCAGCGGGCACCCTCCGGCGCCGCGGGGCGGCCTGTGTAGAAGAATATGCTGAGCACCCTGCGCTCCCCCCGCCCTTAGGGGCCCTGCAGCTGCACCGGCTGCGTCGGCGGCGGCGGCGACTGCGGCGCGGCGGCGACGACGACGGCACGTCCGACAACGGCGGAGTCGACGACGAACTAGGGACGGACGACGGAACACGGTGGCGGCGTCGACGACGGCGGCGGCGTCGACGACGACGGCGGCGGTGGCGGGGTCCTCTACGGCGACGGCGGCGGTGGCGGCGGCGACGACGACAAACGACGAACGACGGTGGCGGCAATGACGATGGCAAGGACGACGAACGAACGAACGACGATGATTATGACAACGACGCGCGGACCTCCGAGTTTTCATGTTTATGCCACTTTTTGTTCCCCTAGGAGTTGGATGCAGGAGGGAGGTCCCCCTCGGCCTCCCCCCTCTTCTCTTTCCCTCCCCCCTGCCTTCTCCCCTCACTCCCCCCTCCTCCCTCCTCCCTCCCTCCTGCATCCAACCCCGCCTCCCTCAACTGGGCGGCTGCTTACGGAAAAAACATGTTTGTTACGCCGCAGCGCGGCAGAGGCAGCCCGCACGCGCGCTCGGGCGGGCCGGGAGGTGGCAGGCGCTGACTTACTTTAGAGAAGCGAAGAATGGCATGCACATAAACATAACAATGAAGCGAGGGACATGCGGAGAGAAGCGAAGAACAATAACATTTCGAGAAGCGAATAATGACATAAACATGAACATAACAGAGACATGCGGAGAGAAGCGACTAACGACATGAACATTAAAACAACTCGGAGGTCCGAGCGGATTTCTCGCTTCGGCTTTGGGACCCCCCTCCCTGGCGCGCGGAGCGCGCCAAGGGACGGCGCCAGAGGCGCCAGGGAGGGGGGCCCAGCGCGGATCCGAGAAGTCCGCGAGGACCTCCGAGCTCTCATGTCTATGCCAATCTTCGCTCCCCTATAGGTGTCCAGCGCGGGCGCGGGAAACCCGGGCACGATGCCCGACTGCAGACGCCCCCCCCCCCCAAAACAAAACCCGACCGCGGCCGCTGCCGGGCAGGCTCGGCCCCCGGGCATGGGACGGGCAGCGCCCGCGGCGGCACCGACGGCGGGCCCTCCTCAGCATGGGCGGCAACCGCTGCTGCAGAACTCCCCCCCTCCTCCTCGCCCTCCTTCTCCTCCTCCTCGCCCTCCTCCTCCTCGCCCTCCTCCTCCTCCTTCTCCTCCTCCTCCTCCTCCTCCTCCTCCTCGGGCTCCTGCTCCTGCTCCTGCTCCTGCTCTGGCTCCTCCTTCTCTCCCTCCTCCTCCTCCTCCTGCTCCTCCTCCTCCTCCTCCTCCTCCTCCTCCTCCTCCTCCGCCTCCTCCTCCTCCTCGGGAAAAAGCGACATACGCTTGCCCGTCGGTCGGACGGAGTAGGTAAAAACGTGGAGTTTGAAGGCGGAGAAAGCAGATTTGGGTTCAGGCCTTCCCAGAGAATGTCAAAACACAGCAGTCGCAGATCGATTCTTGAAGCAGGAAGACGCTTGGAAGTAGACTGGGATCTGGGGATCCAACCATACCTACTTTCAACGACCGGCGTGCCATCTCTCGGAGGTCTGCGCGGATTTCTTGGGCGCTGGACCCTCCTCCCTTGGCGCGCGGCGCGCGCCAAGGAGCGGCACCGGAGGCGCCGCCGCGGGGGCCCCACGCCAAGGCCCTCGGAGACGGGACGCTTGTGCAATGCTTGGTTTTCGATGTTGGTCCTGTGAGCGTGTTTACTCGGCGATTCGACATTGGGCCGAAGGGGGGGGGGGTCTAGCTCCGGACCTCTGTTTAATGCGGCGGTTTGGAACCGTGCGTCCTGGGAGGGGGAGACCCCGCCTGCCCGACACGCCAATGACAGCCAAGATCTGCTACGGGGGGAGGGGGGGGGGAACGCGAGGGCCCGCGCCGATCGGCAACACGAGGACCCAACCATATGCAGTTGTGAATACCGCAATTGTGAATATTTTTTTCGGTGGCGCTCCCTATGGGGCCACATAACGCTGTACTGGGTGGGTGAAACGCAGGGAGCAGGAGCCGTATTGGGTGGTGGCGGACGCATGCGGGCGGTGCCACTGGGACCTTCCGTGGAGCTCCCCATGGGGCCACGAAGCGCTGTAATGGGTGGGTGAAACGCAGGGAGCAAGGGCTGTGCTGGGTGGTGGCGGACGTATGCGGGCGGTGCCACTGGGATCTTCGGTGGAGCCCCTTGTATGGGGCCACGAAACCCTGTACTGGGTGAAAAACGCAGGGAGCAAGGGCTGTGCTGGGTGGTGGCGGACGCAGGCGGGCGGTGCCATTGGGACCTTCGGTGGAGCCCTCTTTATGGGGCCACGAGCCGCTGTACTGGATGGGTGAAACAAAGGGACAATGGCTGCACTGGGTGGTGGCGGACGCATGCGGGCGGTGCCACTGGGACCTTCGGTGGAGCTCCCTATGGGGCTACGAAACGCTGCACTGGGTGGGTGAAACGTAAGGAGCAAAGGTTGTGCTGGGTGGTGGCGGACGCATGCGGGCGGTGCCACTGAGACCTTCGGTGGGCCCCCCCATGGGGCCACGAAGCGCTGTACTGGGTGAGACGCAGGGAGCAAGGGCTGTGCTGGGTGGTGGCGGGAGTATGCGGGCGGTGCCACTGAAACCTTCGGTGGAGCCCCCGTATGGGGCCACGAACCGCTGTACTGGATGGGTGAAACAAAGGGACAATGGCTGTATTGGGTGGTGGCGGACGCATGCGGGCGGTGCCACTGGGACCTTCGGTGGAACTCCCTATGGGGCCACGAAACGCTGTACTGGGTGGGTGAAACGCAGGGAGCAAGGGCTGTGCTGGTTGGTGGCGGACGCATGCGGGCGGTGCCGCTGAGACCTTCGGTGGAGCTCCGTATGACGCCACGAAGCGCTGTACTGGGTGGGTGAAACGCAGGGAGCAAGGGCTGTGCTGGGTGGTGGCGGACGCAAGCGGGTGGTGCCACTGGGACCTTCGGTGGAGCCCCTTTATGGGACCACGAAACGTTGTATTGGGTGGGTGAGCGTAGGGAGCAAGGGCCGTATTGGGTGTTGTGGTGGCGGACGCATGCGGGTGGTGCCACTGGGACCTTCCGTGGAGCTCCCTATGGAGCCACGTAACGCTGTACTGGGTTGGTGAAACGCAGAGAGCAAGGGCTGTGCTGGGTGGTGGCGGACGCATGCGGGCGGTGCCACTGGGACCTTCGGTGGAGCTCCCTATGGGGCCACGAAGCGCTGTGCTGGGTGAGTGAAACGAATGGAAGGAGGGGGGAAGGGAGGAGGGGGAGGAGGGGGAGGAGGAGAGGAGAAGAGGAACGCGGGGACCGTCTCTTCAAATCGAGGAGCCAACACCACAGGATGGTTGGGAAAAAACTCTCACCTGCTGGTCTTCGTTCCCCTTCGGTCCGCCCCCCACTGCGGACGTCCACATTTCGCCCCCCCCCCCCCCCCTGGCGTCGGCGGGGGTCCGCGGTGCGCTCCGCTCCCCAAGGCGCCCTCCTCCGCCGCCCCGCTCCCGGCCCTGCTTTTCTCCGCCCCGCCGTCCTCGGGCGGGCGGGCACTGGGGGGGGTGACCGACGAGGGGGGCGAGGAGAAGGGCCCCTCCAGGCCCCCACTACAGGCCGCCCGCTGTCCTCGACCTCCTCCTCGGCCCGTCATCGGCGTCGTCTTCCCGGCCATCCTCCTCGCCCTCCTGCCCGTTGGTCGTCCTCTCCGCTTCTCCCACCCAAGACGAAGCCATGACGAGGGTTAAATCGAACGAAGATATATCGTGAATCTCTGAGACCCGGCGGCTCTGGACGATGCCTCGGGCGCCGCGGCCTCCTCAGACCGTTCTGGGTTGGGCGTCGCTTAATGGATGGGGGACCTTACGAGCCCCTCTAGGGGCCCTCAAGGGCCCCTTTTCTGCAGCCATAACTGCCACTCCAAACATCGACCCCCTTTTACGACGCGGTGCCCGTAGGGCGCTGCGGGCTTCTCAGAGCTTTCCAGAAGTGCTCTGAGAGCGTTCCGGGATGCTCTGGAACGGATGTCTTTTGGCGGCGCGCACGAGTGGCTGGGGGGAGGGGGGAGGGCTTCTTAGAAGCAGGCTGCTTCTTAGAAGGCGCCAGCCTTACATCTATAGATAAGGCCCGCGCCTTCTAAGAAGTAGGGGTGCTTCTAAGAAGCCCTCCCACCTCCCCCCCCCCTCTGCGCGTGGCTGAGTCTTCTCGTCCTGGCCCCGTCCGATCCGCTTGCCCCACCCCGCCCTCGCCCCTCCAGGGCAGCGCAAAGGCCACGCTCGTGGCGGCGCGCGGGCCCATCCAGCCGAGCTGCAGGAAGTTGTACCTGGGGGCCCAGCGCGGGGCGGGCTCCACAAGGGAGGCAGGGCTCCCAGGATCCAGGATTCGGCCTCGATGCCTGATCACTCGACGCCCCTCGATCCTTCGATCTCTCTCTAGTCTCTTCGATCCTCCTCGATCCAGAATTGGTACCGCAGGACCTGTATTATGATGTTTGCAGGCGCTGTCAAGGTCGAATCGATAACTCGGATCAGATCGAAACATGCGTCGCTGGATATGCATCGGCACAGATTCGGAATCGGATCGAATGGGCCGCGTCTATATATATATATATATATATACATATATATATATATATACACAACAACGCCATGCAAACTTCGGGCCGCATCGGAATACCTGAAAGGTCGAATCGGATTGAGCCAGCCGGAATCGATATCGACCAAATCGAAACTGACCCTGTGCAGGATCCGGGATCCACAATCAAGGCTGTTGGATGTATGGGGCCTCTTTTGGGCGTCTCGGGGCGCCCCAGTGGCCACGGATGAGGAATAATATCCGAACCTGAGCATGAGGAACAATATCCGAACCTGAGCGCTCCTGACTGTAGTGTGTCCCAAGAAACGGTTTTCGCAACATACAATACGACACGCAACTATCATGTAAACGATGCGCAGAACTTTGTCAGAACTGCCTGGAGGTCGGACAAGGGAGAGGAAGGAGAGGGTGATGGGATGATGATCGCTCTGGCATGAGACACAGAAGGGAGGAGGTACCTGATCGCCCTACCTTCGACCCAGGGAGGTTCAAGCAATAACTATGGCCGCCTACGTTTGGTCTGGCAGCAGACAAGCAGCGCGCACTCGGTACCAATGAAAATGACCACGGTAAGGTCGGGCGTGTCCCCCTACAGGCGCATGTTGGGCGAACAATGAAAAATACCCCAAAAGCATCCCAACATAATCTAACCATAGTAATAAACATCGTCCCAATACTATATTTTTACTATTTTTAAATTTTCCTCCCTGTAGAGGAAAACGCCAGACTTAAGACAACGGCGACGATGGACGCCTCCCAAACGGAGGCCGACGGATCGCACCGAATCACCGGTGTACCAGCGACGTCGGGATGGAGATACATTGGCCTCCTGCTCCAAGGGCTCCCAGCTTCGCGCTTCGCGCTGCGCGAAGCGCGAAGTGCGAATAACTTCGCGCCCTCGCGCCGCCCCCCAAGGGAGAAGAGGAGGAAAGGGGAGGAATCGGAGCCGAACCGCGAAGCGCGAATAACTTCGCGCCCGCGAGGGCGCCGGCGCCCTTGCTGCTCGCGCCACGTCGCCGATGCGTCGGCGATGCGGCGCGATTGTTCGACTCCACGTGCCTTGGCCCTTTTCATTGTGAGGCTTGGATTATGCTGCTCCCATCGTACTTGATGACCACATCCCAGACATACTTTCGAGCACCCAGAAAAGTGTCGAAAGAGTGTCGAAACAGTGTCGGAACGAGTGTCTCCCAGGGCTCGACACGTGAAACTCCACGAATTTCGGTACTTTGTTGGTGCTCGAAATCCCACCAGCCCTCTGGGCGCAGAGGGCTAGAGCGTTTCCTTGTCCAACCTCCTTCCTTTCCCTGCTCGGGAAGTTTACCTCCTCCCCTCCCTGCGTCTGGACGGGCTCCCCCGCGAGGTGTCAGAGGGCCCTTTTCGGCCCAAGATGGCTCCAAGAAGGGTTCAGAGAGTGCGAGATGGCCTCCAAGATGGCCCAAGATAGCGATAGATGGCTCAAGATAGCCTCCGACACGAATCCAAGAGGCCTCAAAACGGCCTCAAAACGGTTTCAAGTGCCCTCAGAGCCCTCTGAGGACTCCCCCAAGAGGCCAAAACCATTCAAAAACCATGGTGTTTGCCTTCTCGTTTTTTCGCCTCCGATGGGCTCTTGAGGCCTCAAGATGGCCCCAAGACGGCCCAAGATAGTCCCACGAGGGGCCCAAGAGGGCCCCAAGAGCGCTTCAAGAGCGGGCCAAGAGGGCCCCAAGACGGCATTTTTGAGCCTCCGAGGGGGCGATGGGAATTAGAACCCCCCTATCTGTTTTGGCGAAAGGGTCCAAGACGGCCCCAAGAGGCCCATCAGGCATCCCAGAAGAGCCTCAAGAAGGCCCCCAGACCCCCCAAAAGAATCCAAACAGGGCCCCCAAAGAGCCCCAGGAGGTCTCCAAGAAGGCCCTAAGAGGACCACAAGAGAGCCCCAAGAAAGAGCTCCATGAGGGCCCCAAGAGAACCCCAAGAAAGCCCCAAGATGGCTCAAAGTTTCGGAACGCACGCGAGTTTAAGATACAAATCAGTGCAACAGCCATATCGAAGCACCATCGTAGCTTGCACTGGTTTCCATCTTAAACTTCAATGCGGGAAGCTCTTTGTGATCCTTGTTTTCCCGAAGACGGCTGAGCAACTGCATGCGTCCTGCCGCCCCTGATTCACCGACTCCCCTGCTCATCCTTTCTGGATGGGCTGGTGGTCAAGGCTACAGCGAAGCGTCAAGAATTCTTTCTGGTGGTCAAGGCTACAGTAGGTTGGACATCACAAGGCTTCGAGACGATGACGATTTTCTCATCGCCCCTGGCACGCGACTGGAACCCGGCGGCGAGCCCAAGGGGGCATGCAGAGGGGACGGGCCCTCTGCGAAGGCTCGGACGGCCTCCGACCTTCTGAGAGAAGTTTCCCGAGCCTCCTCCGGAGACAGGCGGCGGCTTTCCAGAAGGCCAGAGGGCCTCTGAGAAGCACCGTCGCCTTCTGTCGGGGGTGCGCAAAACATGGATCAGCGATCCAGGGATTTGGCGCGCGGTCGCCAAATGCAGGGATCGGGGGAGGTGCCCTCCCCCAAATGCGGCCAGTGCCGCCTCGCTCGGCGGCGGAACTCCGCGATTTCCCATGGAGACGGGACCCGTCGCCAATCCACGCCGCCTTGATCCATGCTTGCGATCCCCCTGATTCTGAGGAGCACCGCCGCCTTCTGCGACGGTCTGCCCCCTCTCACTTCCCCCCTGGGCTGGTCGCCGAGGAGGCGGAAGAACATCCTGACCACCTAGCTTACTATCCGTACGTCGGACAGCTGCCCCGGACTGCCGCGGGAAAAAACGCGACCTACGCCGTCGGACCGGCCCGCGCCGCAAGGGGGGGGACGCGCACCCGAATCTCTGGCGCCTCGACGACAACGCGACGGGCGGCTGTCAGAGTCTGGCTCTCCGCAGAGCCGCTCTGGGCCCTGGGAAAGCTCACACACGCACACACACACAAACGTACACACAAACGTACACACCCTTAGACACTTCTTTGGCGGACGCGGTCTCGCGCGCAGCGACGAGGCGGAGCAACACACTTTGCACAGTGGGCGGCGCAGAGGACCCTCGGGCGCGAGCAGCAGCTGGAGGTACGAATTGCGATCGCACGGTGTCGAAGGCACAGTGCACAAAACGTGAACACCGTCAATGCGGAGCAACACACACACACACACACACTTTCGGCATCGCGGCCACGCGCGCGGCGGCGCGGCGTAGACAGCCGAGGGTGAGCAAACGCGCGGCGGGGCCACACACAAACGCACACACTTTGACTCCTAGGCGGCCCGGCTCAGCGAGGCGGATAGCGGGGCGCGCACACACAGAGAGACGCACACTTTTTACGCGGGCAACCCCTCGCTCTGCGTCGGGGCGGTAAAGAAGCGCAGAAGCCTGGAGCCGGCAGGCGGAAGCGGACAGCTTTCTCGGATGGGAGACCAGGAGACGGCGAGGGCGAGCGGTGAGAAGGACTGCCAGGCACGCAAACGTGCACACACAAACTCTCTTGCTCCGACGCGCAAAGTATCCAAACGGCGGGCAATGCTGCGGGACACGTTAGCCAGTAGTTAACCTCCTTGTGAAGTGGCGTAGTCAGGCAATGCGACCAATTGGCGACCCGGGGTCGAACAACTAGTTGGTGTAAGGCAGGGCGAAACAGACTGAGTAGCCGAGCGGACGAGAGGCCGAAAACGGCACACACACACACACACACGTACACATACTCGTACACGTACACATACACGTACACAGACACGTACACGTACACGTACACGTACACATAAACGTACACGTACACGTACACGTACACGTACACGCACACGTGCACGTACACGTACAAGTACACGTGCACGAACACGAACACGAACGCGTACACACATGCACACACACACACACACCCACACGCGCACACAAGCACGACCCACATCCTCAAGACCACCCGAACTTGCGGTCCAGACCGACTGCTGGGGATCGAGAGCCTTGGCCCCTCGAGACCCTCGACCTCGAACCTGGGGCCCATCAGGACCCCTGGCCCCAGAACCTCGATCCTCGACTCTCCTCTCGTGGAGCGGGAGGGAGGAGCGCGGCACGGGCGGAGACGGGCGCGGACGGGGCGCGCCCGACCAACTGCGGGGCCCCGCAGGCAGGTGGGCCGCACGGCTCTTCTCAGATCGCCGCTCCCGCGTCGTCCGGGGGGACGTGGGTCGTCTCGGCGGGGAGAGGGAAGCCTGACGTCTCGGGGGCCTCGACTCGCCACTTCGCTAACCCTGGCCAGCCCGATCCTTGGCCCGGGATGCTCACGCAGGCCGCCAGCACGACACGCCGCGCGGAGGACGAGGGCGCTGAAGCGGGCGGCTCGCGCGCCAGGGCCCGCGCAGCCGCCCCCCCGTGGGAACACCCAAACCCAACAACCTTAGAGGTCCTCTTTTTCCCTCTGGATTCCCCGCTCTCGTGGCGAGAATGAGGAGGCAGATGGCGGGGAGGAGGGGAGGGGGCGGAGGTGACGGGGAGGAGGGGAGGGAGGAGGAGGAGGGGAGGGGGGAGGAGGGAGTAGGAGGAGGAGGATGGGGAGGAGGAGGGGGGGAGGAGGACGAGGAGGAGGAGGGCGACACAGCCTCCCCCGCTTGGCCAGGAGGGCCGATACCAACTGGACCTGGGCCCGCGCTGCAAAAACTCGACCACCGGGGGCCAACGCTGACCCACGTCGGCTGCAGGGCCC